TTATCACAGACATCAGTGAGGACTAATGAATTTGAAAGGAGACGTACACATGCATGTACATATTATGTGTATAGCTAGCATCCCTTAGTCTGTATGTTGACTAAATTTCTCTGACATTAACCTACCTTATCCACACAATTTATGGAGACTTTATGCAGAATAAGATTCTGCACTCTTTTTTCCAATCCATAGAATGCTGCTTCAAATAACTCTGCCTCCTGAAACAGAACTAGTATTAGAACAGCCATAGACATGGCATAACTTTACTCACCTTCAAACTGAGACAGTGGTTTTGTAGGTCTCAGCTGCTACTCCAAGTATCCTTTGCTCTTCCATTAGTCGATAAGAACTCCTTCCTGGAGTAACACTCTTCAAGTATGGCAGTAGAGCAGTGGGACATGTTCCAGCAGACCACCTGGCCATCCTCAGAACAACCTGCATACACTAGAGCTACTCGGGGGATGTTGAAGTAGCCGCAGACAGCAGTAGTGATGTCATCATAGTCCTGGAGAGTGAGGTGAGGTCGATCAACCTGGACTGTGACTATGATGGTCTCCAGAGCTCTGGACTCTTGTGCTCATTCAAACACACGGGATGAAGAGACTGCAGGTCGTTGAGGGGACCAGTGTGGTAGGCCAGGTGGGACGGACTGAGGGAAGTGGTCGTGTTGCTCGCTTTTGTTGGTAACTTTGTCCGTCGACAAATCAGGGAAGAGGCACACTTGCTGCGAAACTGTAGGAACTGCTCCACTGCTTCAATGGCTGGAGGACACTGACACTCCTCTGACATCATCATGAGGAGGTGGGGACTGAAGCAGTTCCAGAGACTAGACTGACATCTGAACACCTCTTCTGTTGAGGCAGCATTCTCATATGTGCTGGGGTTTGACTATCGGGACGGACTTTTCCTCTCCCATTGGCAGGACCAGCTGACTGAAGAACTGTTTCAGACGAGAGAGGGAGTCAGGAAGCTGCTCAAATGCCTCCATCACTGCTGCCAGTGTCTGTAAGAACTGACTCTGGAGATCTGATACTTTCAGCTCTGATTGTGGAGTGACGGTAGGTGGTGGGTAAAACCTGTGTTTCTTCTTTACTGCACTGATGTTATTATGGTCTAGAAGGAGAAATATGTGTTATACAAATTACAAACAGTGTCTTAAGAGAATTAAACCTGATCTAAGCTTTATTGCCAATTTTCTCTGTTCTGGGCAGTCAGTGGCCTCTAGAATATTGCACAGATCTAGTGCAAATGTGGGTGGGCTCTCCTGTATTAAACAGGGCAACTCCAGCTGAAATATTCTGTGCATATGTAGAGCTGTATGCCTCTGCGTTTCCCTTCTCTTGTGATGTGATGAGCTTTCCTCTCCACCATCTCATGGAGTATGGACTTGGCATTGAGGTACTGGTAGACCTCACTGAGGTTGAGACGTAACACTTTGCACTCAACATAACTTGCCCTGCAACCTTTAACCCTTCATCTTCTGTACAATTATTATTACTATTAATATGACATAACATCAATCAGTAAAACCTTCACCTTCTCCCAACTTCAGTGAAGGAAGAGAGACCCACCGCTAAAATTGATGTTTTAAAGAGTATTAAACATTGTGGTACGTTTATATAAAACTCATACCTTAAGATTTCTTCGTGCTTTTGAACTATTCCCTTCTTCCGTGGTACTGGTTTGCTGCAGATGTGCTTGGATGATCTGCTTCAATTCTGTAAGCTTCTCTTGAAGGTCAGCTTTTCTGATGAGGCCACAGCTTTTCCCTCTCCAGTTCTTCAATGTACCTCTTGAGCTAGCATTTTTTGAGAGCACCTCTGCATTTTCTGTCTCTAAGTCATCAACTCTTTTCATCAAACGATCATTTTCGTTTTTGTACTCTGCTTTCCTTCGTTCCTCCTCCTCTTCCCTCTCTTTCTCTGCGACCAGAGGCTGCTTCTTTGTGTGGAGCTCTGCTATCTCCTCGTCAAAGTGTTTCTCTCGGTTTCTTCAGGAAGATCCTCCCCAGGACCTTCTCTTCTCCGATTGAGAGCTTCAATGTGTCCATCCAGACACTGCTATCTCCGTGTCCCTCATCCCCAGTGCTGAAGGGGGTTGGTGGTAGTTCCACCAACCTGTTGTGTACTGGCACTTGCTCTCTCCATACTCTGGAGTTGACCTCAGTTGTGCCAGTCTCCGGCAGAGGTTGCCTGCAGTGAGGCCTTTCTCTTTCCTGTCTTTCGAGGCACTCCAAGGCAAGTGATCGAAGTGGGTGTGTCAGAAATACTCTTGGAGGTCACTTTTTCGACGCTCTAGCTCTGGGACAGGAACAAGAATCGGAACCGAATAATTGGGATCGTGTACGTGATTGTGGGGATCGGTTGGATTTGGGTAATGGCGAGTGATGATTTGAACGATGAGTACTCCAGTGGAGAACATGTCAATCTTGTCGGAATAAGCTGGTCCTTTGACCAGTGCCTCGGGAGGCATGTAGGCAAGTGTACCTGGACATTCTGTGAGCTTATTGTTTCTGCTCATGCGAGGGTTGAGGTCGACCATCTTGGACATGCCAAAGTCGGTCAGCTTGGCCCGGGAACCAGCAGTGAGAAGAATGTTGTTGCTGGAAAGGTCGCGGTGCTGAATACCGTTGCCGTGAAGGTAATCGAGGGCCAGAGTGATGTCGTAGGTGATGTTAACCTGGACATGATAGGAGAGAGCTCTCTGTCGGCTCTCTAGGAAGTCAGTGAGGCTGTGCTCCATCAGCTCCATGAGGAGAATCGGTCTGCGGTTGCTACGACGTCGAGGGTCTTCCAGGACCCCCAGGAATTGCACGATGCCCGGATGCTTCAGGTGACGCAGGATCCGGCACTCCTGTTTGAAACGTCGAATGAAGTCGGCAACGTGAGGATCATGTGAGGTGAAGAAGATGTGGTGAAGGAGTTTAGCGGCACAAGGAAGACCGTCAAGCTTGGCTTTTATGACTCTTCCATATGAGCCGTGACCGATTTCCTCTGAGGGTTGGATCAGTACTGTTTTGTAGCCAAACGTTTTTCTGAGGTTTATTTCTCGCGTCGTGAGTGGGCTCTCTTCCTCCGCAAAGCCCCTGGTCGAAATGTCAATTTCAAAGTCTGGATCTTCAGACATGGCTCTACTGGATAATCAGAAGGCGTAAGGCGTACGTAATTCACTTTTTTGTAGATTAGAAAGCAAACTGCCTCTTTAAAGGAATTAACCTTGCTATTCATAATAATACTGTCAAGTTAGGAAGCCTGTTCACGTTTGACTAGCAAACCGCATTCAGCTATTACTGCAAACATTGTTGCACTACAGGTTAATGAATAATGTAAGGCATCAGGGGGGTGCGGGGCAGTGAAAAGGGACTAGAGGACACCTTGTGAAGCCCTAACTACCCTCTTCCCCTCTCTATACCCTTGAAGAAAACCCTAGTCTCCCCTTATGCTCTCGGCCTTAAGGGTGCGTCTAAACATTGCTTTACCTACCTATCATGCATGGCCATAAAGTTGTCAAGAAAGGGGGAGGCAAGCAGATATGAATATCTATAGTTTGCACTCTTGTGCTGAATGCGATCAGGTTTTGTAAAATCCTTGGGCCTCCGAAGGGTGGATGAAACAAAGATTTGAACACTCGTCATAATATATCCGAGGGCATTAGGATGACAACCCAAAATCCCAGAAAGCTATCCTAACTATATAGTGTATACATTGTAAACTCTTACTCTGAGTATTACTGAGTTTTGAAACTTAATGCGAAGATGCTCACCAGCTATAATGCTAGCAAACTGTTTTTTGCTATACGAGCTCAGATCTTTGCTGCCTTGGGTGTAGTTCCTATATATATACCCTTGAAGCCAGCTTGAAGGGTGTGTCTATCAACATTAAACATTGCCTTGCCTACTTATCATGCATGGTCATAAAGTTGACAAGAAAGGGGGAGGTGACCGGAAATAAATATCTACAGTTTTTCCTCTCACATTGAAGGCAAAAAGTGTTGTGAGGTCCTGAAGAAGGATTGATGATGGTAAACGAGGATTTGAACACTTGTCATACCTCAGAGCATCAGGATGATAATGCATGAAAATCCCAGAAAGCTATCCAAGCTAGTGCATACATGCTTTGTATACCACTTCTCTTACTCTTGAGTATCACTGTACCAGCGTGAATTTTATAACTCTAATGTGAAAATGCTCACCAGCTATAAACTAGAAGACTGTTTTTTGCAATGCAAGCTCAGATCTTAGCTGCCTTGGGTGTAGTTCCTATATATCCTTGAAGCCAGCTTGAAGGGTGTGTCTATCAACATTAAACATTGCCTTGCCTACTTATCATGCATGGCCATAAAGTTGACAAAAAAGGTGGAGGTGACTGGAAATGAATATCTCCATCCAAAACTGACAAACAAGCCAAGAATCTTGCATTGGAGTAACATGATAAAAGCTGTGCATCACATGTCAAGTCCTTGATGATTAGCAAGGACGTAAGCACTTATCAGACCACAGAGCATCAGGAACATGGCTCGTGTCCTTTTCACTTGGCAAGCTAGTTAGCTAAAATATGTGCATACTATCTTTTCGTGTTTCTCCTTCTTCGTTCATGAGTCTGAGCTGTTTAGCAATTTTCACAAGTAAGAAGTGGTTGTTGAGCTGCCTAATGGCTCCAATTTTCTGCCTTCTGTTCACACGGTTGAAGGATAAAAGGCACACCTCAGTAAAAAAAGGTTTGTCAGAAGTGTATCAAGCCTGTATAGCTTACACCTTGCATACCTCAAGCATCATTAAGTTTTTGCAGATATGAGATGATGAATGTATGATGGATGAAAGGTTAATGCAAGTGTCAAGCGTTCCCCTGATTACATTCATGGTGGCAGAGAAAGGGGAGGGTGAAGTGAAGAATACCACCGCCCGCCGCCTAACGGGGCGCGGCTGAGCTGCCACATTTGGGGGCGGGGCTCAACGAAGGCGCGCAAACTTTGCATGCTTTGTTCTCAGGCCTGGAAACGAGGCTAGAGCTCTGTAGCCTGTTAGTTTAGCGGCTCTACCGTACGATGTAGTTGTAAATAACGCCCGGAGAGCAGTAGTACAAACTGTCATGAACGCATAGGCCTACCTCCGCTGTGCAAACGCGCACACATCATCGCGCGCTCCGCCGTGCAGTTTTCCGGTTTTGAGGGTGGGGCTGAAATATCGCCTCTCGCTTCGCGGTGAGCAGTTCCTTGTCCGCTTTCACCGCTATAATATAAGTGGTCCAAGTTTGGCCGCACTAAAAAGAATACAAAGACGTGAATGGTCTGGTGTCGCAGTAACGCGTACAGATAGCTATAGGTGCTAGCACAGCTAGTCGTAACACAAAACAAAATACCTTCCGTTGCCAGCGATAACTCTACAGGAGGTGAACTATAAAAGGCCTCCTCCACCGCTCAAAGTATGTCTCCGTCGTCTCTGGCAAGTCAAACAGAAATCTAGAGCAAATCACCGTAGATTTAGCTCTTGTTGTGACTCACTTTTCTGGAATCCAAGAGAACTTTAACCCGCAAAAGTTAGCCTCTTTTGAACGCAAGACGGGCGGGTTTGCAGCCGGCAAACGCGCTCCTTTTCTTCCGCTGCGAAATCTTGTCACGCATGCGCAGAGAGAAGCTACACATTTAACCCCTAGCCCACCTGCACACATAATTTTTCCTGCGGCGGCGGCGGCGGTGTTTATTCATGGCAGCCTCAGAACAGCAGCAGACCTGGAAACTGCACGGCCCTGTTTCAGATCCGGACGCCTTCGCTTCCTCTCCGACCGAAAACCCGCTGGACTGGACGTGCGAGGAGCTCAAGGGCCGCGCCACTGCTCTCTTCTTCCCGCTGAGCGACGGAGAGATCCTCGTCCGAGAAGGTATATACGTACGCAGCGTTCCCTCACTCTCGTGCGACGTGTGTTAGCTTTACTTCGTCTTTGAGGCGGGGTAGACATTTTTGGCGGGTGTGTTTGTATGTGTGTTGTTAGCAATATCCAGTGTTCAGCTAGCTGCATCTGGGGGCCTATAATCGTTTCCTGGAGTTGCCGTAGTTACCTGGAGATGTAGCGGAATTTGGTCAGGTATATAGCCGACTTTGTGTGTGTGCCGAAGTCGCCGTGGGTTATGTACATCTTCGGAAGGCTTCTGTATTTGGCGCCACCTCCTCCTCGTCCTAACCTAGCTAAATCATCTCTCCAACCTCTCGTTAATACTGGTGTACTAGCTAGAAGTTGCATATAGTAGTAGTATTGTGTGCGCGTTGCACCTGCTTATGTTGGGTACAAGCTATTCTCTCTCCCAATCCTATGACAATTTTAGACTCTCTTTCTCTCTCTTGCGTTGCATGCATCTTTTACTGAACTATAATGCAGAGTTTTGGATCATCCTAGAAGTAAACCGTATATACACCAGTTTCCCCAAACATGTGTACTAATCACTACATATTGTGTACTGTAGCTATCCAGTGTGTTTGACTACATAAGGATGTAAGGTACACAGTATTAGAGGCAGTTTGTCTGTGGCATGGCACACAACCCCAGACATACCGACTGGCCAATTCTCAACATCTTTCCTTGTAGGAGGACAGATATCAGTTACATGAGTTGTAGCGCAATGTGCATCTAAGCATAAGACAGTGCTGTATGCAGCATATTGCACTCTATATAGTGATCTGTGTACAGTTTTTATACACTAAGAGCTGTATATACCTAATTCAAATTGGTTGTCCTGTTTTTCGTTTATGCATTATGCTGAGTCATTAGGAACGATCAGTTAATGTAAGTTTTCTGTTCGTCAATGGCTGCCGTCTGTCATTGAACATTTGTAGTCTCTCTCCGAGATTTCCATTCTTAGAAGAACAGTCACTGGCACTGTGTGATTGTGTGCTCCTTTCTTTTTGTTGCATAAGACTTCTAGTACTAATGCTCTTGTCTGTAGTTTGTGCATACGTATGTATGTGCCAATCAGTAATAGGACTGGGTGTTGTCAGTCAGTAATAATGTGGGCTGTCTACATGTTGTTGTTGTTGTCTCCTAGGAGACGTGGTAGTGATAATAGAGCAGACGTTGGCAGGAGACTATTTCGTCAGACACAACACAGAGAACAGGGCGGTCGGAAATGGCTGTGGACTACATGTGAGATCAGTGAGCCCTCCCCTCCCCTCCCTCCCTCCCCTCCCCTCCCCCCTGCTCTCGTCTTGACACCTCCCTGTTTTGACTCTTCATCTCTCCTTCCGACAGAGCTCTTTGCACCTCGACAGCCGCGCGAAAGACGCGACCAGCCGACCGTCACGTCTCGTCTCATCCCTCGCTCGAGCAAGATTTCCTCTCTCCTTCCCTCCCTTTTGCCATCTCTCTCCCTCCTCCCTCTCTCTGCCACCTTTCCATGTTCCCTATCCTTCCTCCCCCTTTACCATCTCCATGTATCTCATTTCCAGCCCATAGCTCCCAGACGCTAGCTCTAGCAGCAACCGTGCAGTCTCATAGTGTGTGGTGACTAATGCCTTGAAAGTGTGGTTTCCTATTTAATACACCAGGATGCAGTGAATCATGCTCTTAGAGGACTTAGACAACCAATACATTTCGTTGTTGTTCTATTCGTACATCGTCCCTATATAGTTCCCGAGGACGTGGATCAGCTCCCGCTACCAGCTAAGAACAAATCAGACCAAACTGCCTCTAAACCAGGTACCAGCTTTCTTTGGTTTCATCTCTCCACATGATTTGCACTCTTTACACACGTTTTTTGAATACTTACTTCTCATATATAACTCATGTCTAGGTCAAAATCTTCATCGTCAGCTCGGAGTATCTCGTAGGAAGGGAGTTGAAGTTCGTCAGAGGATGTCTGGAGCCTTCACCACTACAACTGACACCTCCGAACAGAATGGAGGTCTGTTTACTGCCCTATGTGTATGTAGTTTCTCTATTAACAATGTCTTTCTTGGTGATATATAAACATGTAAGGTATATACATATGATGCAGTACACTACAGAAAGCACTCGCAACCATTATATACATACACTGAAACCTCTGAATAAAAGTGCCCCTTATAGAGAGATGTCATTTTTTCGTAGGATCTTTTTTTCTGAGGTGTCACTGTATAATGTATGCTACAGTAGGTCAATAAAACTACTACCTCATCAGTAGCAGAAAGACGCATTATATTATAATACTTGTCTCAATTCTCCTCACCATCCAGATCGCTCAACTAGTCAGTCGTCAACTTTTCCTCGTCTCTCTAAACCTGTCACCACAACAGCCCCCTCTTCAGCGCAGTCTCTCAACCGTAAGCTCCACCAATGCCCACAGATCTCTACCAAGGTTGACATTCACGTGTTGTGTTGTGTTGTAGATTGAAACCCATACCTGCTGAGTAGCTCAGTTGGTAGAGTGCTTGCCTAGACTGCAGAGTGTTGTAGATTCGAACCCCTACCAGCTGAGTTGCCCTGGTAGCTCAGTTGGTAGAGTGCTTGCCTAGACTGCAGAGTGTTGTAGATTCGAACCCCTACAGCTGAGTTGCCCTGGTAGCTCAGTTGGTAGAGTGCTTGCCTAGACTGCAGAGTGTTGTAGATTCGAACCCCTATATACCAGCTGAGTTGCCCTGGTAGCTCAGTTAGTAGAGTGCTCGCCTAGACTGCAGAGTGTTGTAGATTCGAACCCCTACCAGCTGAGTTGCCCTGGTAGCTCAGTTGGTAGAGTGCTTGCCTAGACTGCAGAGTGTCGTGGGTTTGAATCCCGCCCAGGGCAACTCTGGAAAGTGCTGTCCTGGGTGTAGTTGACTTGTTTGCCTTTCTACCTCGTTACCAAGTTGTTGATACATTCATGTATTGCTCTAATTCTACATGTTTCATGTTTTTCTATCCTTGTCACATTTCGTGCTGTCACCTCAGGACTATAGGTCAGCCACTTTAATCCCGGACGTCGGTGAGACCGGTGACGTTCACCGAGACAGTCGCTCGGCAACGGTAGCCATGGCAACGGTGGAAGGAGCCAGTGCGCAGGATCCGGGAGACGACGACGTGGTGGAGTACGAGGAGGGGTTTAAGATGGTGGAGAAATACAACATCATCTCAGTCTCAGGTACTATGATAGTTGCCGAGCGCATTAGCGTGAGGCAACTACTCCGGGTTGTATTCTTGCGATGTCGTCAATTAGACCGCAGTCACGCGCAATTGACCAATCAGATTATAGAATTGCGGGGGGGTTTATTTTTCATAGACACCTCGTTTCAGGTGTCTAATGGCGTTTGCAGGTGGTCTACAGCAAACTCCCCGTACAAAATGGCTATTCTCAAAAGTCGTTATCTGCGCAAACCGGCCGATTCCGCGTTCGGTATATGTAAGCGTAGAAGGCGCGACTGGCAAAGTAGCTCTTTTAAAATGCGTAGTGCACCTGCAAGAAGTCTGTGGACAGTCTCCGGAGCTCGCGAAAGTCAGAAATCACGTCAATATTCCACGAAAAAAGCGTTGGCTTCTTTAGCTCTGGCGATACACAAACACATTGGGCCGTTGCCGTGCGTTGCTAACCCTTTCAAACGCGCACCACCAATGAGGGCGTTTTATGATGACGTACACGATTTTTGACGGCGGGCGGGGGCTGTCTCCTCGGAGTCTCACACGTAAAAAAAGCGTCTTGTTCCATCCGAAGGTAAGGAATGAGGAATGAGCGCAGCGTTGCTAGCTTGTTGCTACCCATTTGAACGCGCAAACACCAATCAGATACTCCGGTCTAAACCGGTTAGACGCGGAAGCTCGGTTGTCTACGCTACATTGCAACCCTCGGGGCATGTGGGTAGCGCCCTCGCTGCGCTCGGGACGCCAACATTCCACAGCCCCTCGGGTTGCAATGTAACGTAGACACCTCGCTTCCACGTCTAACCTATATTTAGTCATGCTTAGGAATGTCAATTAGTCACCAAAAGGAAGCGTAACTTCCGTCATTCGTAGGAAGTCTAGCTTCCTCCGTGCGCGCAGATTCGGAAGTAGAGCGCACACACGAGCGACCTCAGTCGGACTGTTTACGCATTGGCTGGCAGGCGCGAGGCAAAATATGCATGTGCGCATTCCTCTAGTACTGCTTTGTTTTTCGCACACATGTATATATTAGAAACAGCTTTTTCTTGATGATTACTCAGCTTACTTAAGCAACTAGTTGGTATAAGTGTGCTCTATTAATTAAGCTACATACATTACTCCTAGACAATGTTTCTATCCTTCTAGAAATCTAGAAACCTACGTTGTACCTCCCACCATATTCTTTTCTCCTCCCTTCCTCTTCAGTTCTCTCTCTCTCTCTTGTCTCCCAGGATCAGATCGAGATGGTCGTCCAGTGATAGTCATATCGGCATGTCGTCTCCCTCCCTCATATGCCATCAATCACGACGTCCTACTCAGGTTAATTCACCACCTCATGCGTAATTACCTTACACTATACTTCAGCTGCATATGCCATCAATCACGATGTCCTACTCAGGTTAATTCACCACCTCATGTGTAAATACCTCATTACCTTACACTATACTTCAGCTGCATATGCCATCAATCACGACGTCCTACTCAGGTTAATTCACCACCTCATGTGTAAATACCTCATTGCCTTACACTATACTTCATCTGCATATGCCATCAATCACGACGTCCTACTCAGGTTAATTCACCACCTCATGATACCTCATTACCTTACACTATACTTCAGCTGCATATGCCATCAATCACGATGTCCTACTCAGGTTAATTCACCACCTCATGATACCTCATTACCTTACACTATACTTCAGCTGCATATGCCATCAATCACGACGTCCTACTCAGGTTAATTCACCACCTCATGTGTAAATACCTCATTGCCTTACACTATACTTCAGCTGCATATGCCATCAATCATGACATCATTCGCCATCTCATATGGGTATATACCTTATATGTACAAATACATGACTGCAGGTTATGTGGCTTTAGGCCTTAATCACATATGGAAAATCACATCAAATCAAAACACATCACATCACTTCACCTCAGCAGTCATGCTTGCACGCTGAATCTGTGCTAAATCTGTGTGAGCCAAAATGTATTCATGCATGCAATGTGTATAATTGCATTCCGCAGTGTAAGTTTATCCTCACGGCATTTGGGGAAACAGGGTACTTATGTTTCAGTAAGGGGCGAGGCGTACAGAGCACCTGTGACAACAATACCTCTTTCAACACCGCTGGACTGCTGCATGTCCATGCTTAACCTTCTTTCAGTATATCATAGTGAGAGCTTCTTAGTACCTTGGTGAGCTGTCCTACTGTGCTTTAATTTTCTGAGAAGCGAGTCGTCTAAATTGCGTCATTTTTCACAAATTTTTGTTGGCCACTGTCCTCAATATGGGCATGCTTTATGTGAAATTTCGCACTCGTGTTCACTTGCCAAAGACTCGTTGCGTTCATCTACTAATAGCTCCATCATTGTTGCCTTGTGTAGATAGGTATGGGAAGTATTTCTTGGACTCTAGCACTCGGTGTTCAGTCACCAAAGACTCATTGCGTTCACCTAGTAATGGCTCCATCATTGTTGCCTTGTGTACAGGTATGGGAAGTATTTCCTGGACAAGATAGTGGAGCAGGACTACACACTGTTGTACTGCCACCACGGTCTGAGGAGCCACAATAAACCGTCTTTCTCGTGGCTGAGAAAGGTTTACGCAGAAATGGACCGCAAGTGAGTAAACATTGGTACAGTGTACATCTGTGGTTACAATATTGGTTAACTCTTTATGGTCTGTCATTGCATATTTGGACCCTAAAGAGTTAAACTTGAAAACTGGTCAGTTCTTCATGTATATAAGACTAACTTTTGAGTCACGAAATCTGCTGGTCAGCATTTTCATTGTTCTCAGCTCGTAACCCATGTTCATAGCCTGTTTTTCTTATGGCATACTATGCATTGGGTAACCAACAACAAATGACTCGTGACTCAAAACTAGTCTTACGTGTGAAGTAACAAAGTGAAACTTGAATATATGCATACTGGACGGTTGGCACAATCGCAGTGCCTTCAAGCATATTGTTTTTCACGGAAATTGGACATATTTTTTTTATACAGGTCTATGGTTTGTGAAGTGTATAGTTTGTGTTATGTAATATTATGTGCTAAGGTACAAGAAGAACATCAAGAAGGTGTATGTTCTCCATCCGACCAACTTCATCAGAGTCATGCTGTCCCTCATGAAGCCTTTCCTCAAGTACGTGATTATTTACTATTGACTCTGTATCTGCTGTAGTTGCTAAGCTTAACACTTAACCAGCCACAGACACATGACAAATGTGTCCGTAAGTCCATACGAATTTATATGGGAGTTATAGTACTAGACGCTAATACTTTATACATCAATTTCTGCTTATTTAAGCAGATACCTGTGGCGTCCAAACTGTTGATCAATTACACAACACTGTGGTGTTTCGCACTAGCAGAGTATTATATGGGGATGACACTATTATAGTGTATGTAGTGTGCCTGAACCTTTCCAATAGCAGCTACAATTGACTCTCTTTCTCTCTCCTCCATGATTATCTATCGCAGCTACAAGTTTGGGAGGAAGCTGTCCTACGTCAACAGACTTGCAGAGTTGGAACAGGTTCTGTATCTGGACAAACTGGATATTCCCGACGAAGTCAAGCAGTCAGTGGGGTTACCATAACAACAGTGTTTCGAAAATGCTCTACAGATTGTGCAGTGCTCTAGCATGAGTAGAATGGCATTTTTGGCTAGTGAACGCAAGTGTAGTCAAACTAGTGCAGCATTTGAGCTGCTCTAAGTGGTGTTTATGCCTGCTTTGAGTCTCAAATCTGATTATTTCCACGTGTACACACCTCTTACCCCTCCATCACAATCTCCCCACTGTCACCATCTTCACTCCTCACTCCCTCCCCTCAATCTGCGTGCGCGCACGGCGGAAATTGACATTCCTAAGCGTGACTAATTGACACGAGAGAAAACGTAGCTACACATTTTTGTAGCAAAAACAATAGTAGCAGTTATGTAAAAGAATTGTGCAATTTAGGCGAGCTTTGGGATGCTGCTGCACACTTTTGACACGTGAACCACGGAGGAAGGAGGGTAAACATAACCTCCATGAAGGCATATGTACGGTACTAACACATGTTGATAGGCAGAGACATCTGTGTTTACTGTACAATTGTTTACAAAAGTCATTCTGTGTCTACTTTCATTCTGAAAGCATGTTCGATATTATGTCGTACACTTCACTGACAGACGCGTAACATTTGTAATTGCTCAGAAGAAGCTGAGCACTGAGGGATTGCACTTTAGTTCTTTATTCTCTCTCCCTCCCTCCTCCCTCCCTCCCTCCCTCCCTCCCTCCTCCCTCCCTCTATGAGTGTGTATGTGTGTGTGAGTTAATCATTTAGCTCTCTTCTTGATTCTGTACGCTCCTCCCCCCTCTCTCTCACAGGTATGACCTGTCCCTGAAGGTTCCAGTCCGCCATCTCGCCACCTCTGACTCCCGCTCCGTCTTCCACACTCCTCTCCCTCTCTCCGGGGAGGAGGAGAAGGGAGGAGAGGCGTCCGCTGGCCACGCAGCTCGGGCCTCCAGAAGACAGTTTGGAGTGAGGCTCGAAAAGTGAGACTTGTACCTCACACATGCACATGAGTATGCCAGATCGAGCCCCCATTCATAAAACCGTACATATATCCTCTGTGGGGTTGTTATTAGTAGAGGGAGGGGCGGCTGTGGGTGTGGCCAAACTTGCGTGCAGGTGGTTTAAGGAAGATGAGGTTAAAGGTTTGAGCCAATCCCATTAGTAGCCAATATACATACTACAAACATCTAGTCATTGACAGTTGCATGCAATGCAGGAAGCTTTCTATGAGAGAGCAAATTCCCCTCAGCCCTTCACTAGAAAAATGCTCTGTTTGTCACCTTACAACAAAGGCTTATATAACCAGGTTACTACAAGTTCATCTCCAGGTGTTGCCCCATTCAGGGTGGGGAGTGGATCGACCCAAAACTTTCAAGATTATTTGCATGTTTCCCGGAATATAGCGAGCAAGGATAAGGGGAATTCAGGAAAACTCTCAGTTCACAACGTTCTGGGAACCTTATATGAATGGCATAATAATTTCAAAAGGGTTGTGTGGCTTTATTAACTCCATAGGTAATGGAATGTGAATCCTTTCGTTCCGTAATTAAACCCTTTCTGCATTACTACACAAGGGCGCAGTGCTCCTTGCTATGGTAGCAGCTCACGGGCAAAGTAATGGTTGCTGGTCGATTTGCAATGCGCAATATGCATGTCGACTTCTCATATGTGTACTACATTATTAACCCTCAGCGCGCATGTGCAGCGAGGGTTACAGTACTTGGTCTGTCCGTCTGTCCATCTGTTACAGCGTGGGATGACCACGAGAACTAGGGACATGATCCGCAGATGCAGCCGAGAGTGCACTAGTGCTCTCATTTACAAATGAACCATACTGTGTGCCTCCTTGTTACTCCTCCCTCACTCTCCCCTCCCTCCCTCACTACTTCCCTCTCCCTCCCTCCCATCCTTCTTCACTCTCCCTTCCTCCTTCCCTCCTCTCCTCAGTCTTCATTAGATGACAACAACATCCTAAAGTACTGTCCACGTGTCGACATATCTGAAAAGAAAGGTGAACTACAAACACGACGCTGCAAATCAACATTATCGTAGTACAAATAGTGAAATTTGTTTTAGTTAAGATTACATTCATTGATCCCACTATTATATGCACCATAATTTGCGAGCAAGTGAGCCTGGCCTAGTGTTCTAGATGCTGGATTTTTTTATTTACAAAAAAATCTGCACAGCTCACCACCCCAGTTAGTTAGTGATGCTTGCATGTCATAAAACCTCTGTGCATTGCTCTACAATCAAGGAATGGAAGTTGTTGGATATTCAGAGATCTCCTGCCACCGCCACCATTCAGACTTGAAGAGCAATTCAACAAAGGTGGGTCACTTTTTTTACCGCGTCCCATTCCAGTCATGACTCCACGACCTCTGTGTCCCTGTTCCAGGTCACGAAGTGGATCTGGAATCGCACGGCGACCCTCACCCTGCTGCGTCTCATCAAACTCTTTCTCAGGGAGCTCCCGAACCACTACTTACACCTTTAACTCTACGATCCCATTCTGGCACTGAAATGTACACATGAAACTCATACCAGACTTTCCCAGCTTTCACACAAGCATCCTCACACATGCAATCGTCCTATCTTACTCAGACCTCTCACCTTCCAGTGCGGAGTACAGTTTGAACCCCCTTTTGTCGTGTTGCGCGCATGCATTGCCAGCCTCGTTCCACTGCGCACAAGTGCAGTCGAAAACATTCTGGACAGTGAACCCCACTCTTAAAATCCTAGATCTGCCACTGACCTCCCCCTACATGAGCCGACCTTTCTCCCTAGATAACTTTTAATATTTCCCCCCTATCTGCTCCGAACTTCGTATTCTCCGTACTCTCGTATTCTCCCCTCCTTCTCATGTGACTTCCCCTTCTTCTCTAACCTTTAATCTTTCCCCGATCTGGGTTGGTGTTTACGTAGTTCATATCGAGCGTACATACTGTTTGTGTAAAGTCGTGAAATATTTATTCTCTCAGCTCGACCGACCGAGGAGAAGGTCTCAGTGGTTCACATCATGCTGAGAGAAAGATTGCCTCCCATCAACTTGACATCTCAAAATATCCGTCGGTTTTCTCGCCAAGGTATATAAGTGTCCACGTGTCGTGCCTCTTCTTCATTCCCACAGGTTTCTGACGCACGAAGAAGTCAACAAAATGTCACCGTCCAACATCTCCATTGTCATTGGTCCAACTAATCTGGGCAACACCAGTTGCCAGCCTCGCTGCTCTCGGGGATATAACTCTTTTACTCTTCTTCTCATCAACCATAGCTCTGAGATTTCCCCGAACAGACTAAAGCATCCCAAAACGAAGAATACTAGATTGTGTTGTTCTATTGTCGCAACGTGGTCGTCGTATTTTTATCACACTGCGTTTTAGTCATTAAGATTTTATCATCCAGTAATTGTACATGATTGCACAGAATGTGTTATTGATTTCTTTGTGTTTTAATCACCTGGTGATAATAATTATTATGTACAACTATACCACAAACAATTTTAAATCGTAGCTATTGTGAAGATATTGTGTGCAGTGCCAGTGAGGCTTGAACAGCACGTGTTGCCATATGGCGAAAGAGAGATATCTATGCCGTTGCAAAACTTGCACCATGCAAAGCCATTTGTAGGAAGTTTGTAGGTTAAGGTGTTAATTAATATCTTTTGGGGAAGTGTGTCGCAGCTTGATGGCACACTTCCACTTTCCTGCATAATGAATACTTGATTGCACCTGGTGATTACTTTCTTACTTTTCACAGCATAATAATAATAGGGCTAAAACAAAACTAACTCAGGGTTGTTTACACTGCTACATCCTGTATGGGCCATTAAACTCCAGGTCAGTTTACACTGCCACTCCTGCAGGACTATAAGATGCTACATCATGTATGGGCCATTAACTCCAGGTGAGTTTACACTGCCGCACTCCGCATGACTATAAGAGCTTTGACAGTGAGCAAACCTCCAGTGCAACAGTGTAGTAGTGTATTCTATGAGCACAGCTACTTAGAAATAGCTTATTATTACTAGTGCAAATGTTGAAACATTGTGGCGAGCGGGAGCGACCCCAACTTTGGGATTTGCCCGTGATGTTCGGGTTGCACAACGTGCCGTCAGCGCACAGCTTTCCTTCGTGAAGCAAGATAGAGCTACCTGTCGCCGTTACATAACGTATTGTACATTGGCAGAACCGTGAGCAGGTGAGCAGAACGGTACTCTTACGCTTTCAACTCGTCGTCGTGGTTCACAAGGCAACTGGCATGCAGCAGTATGTGCACGAGCAATCCTAGCGTATTATGCAAGTTGCACCTTGGAACCATGAAGATTGGGAAGAGGTATATACAGCTTCGGTCAGTCACCGAAGGTTCGAGCGCATTCCGTCGATCGAATTGAAGGAGAGTTGGAGAGAAGGAGAGAATTTCGGATAAAAAGAAGCGCGTACAAAGACGCGCATGCGCACTTACACGACGTACGAAATCCGCTCTAACGAACGACTAGGTTGGCTCGCTCCCGCTCGCCAATAAAATATAGAAAAATCGCGCCGTTCGTACCACTAGGTTGCTCACTCCCGCTCGCCAATAATTACACCTTTGTTCTGAACTGAAGACCTGCACCTACCGGACACAATGGACACAATGGTAAATTGACATACATACGTTCATTGTCTGCCACTGCTGTTGTAGTGATATCCATAGGCTTCTCCCAATGTTCACACCTTATAGGCCTCCCTGTTACATGGCCTGTTGTACTCCTCATGTTTATGGATCCGGCTATTGTGTTTAGGCATGGATATTACATAGCTGGATTACTAGAATGGCTAGCTAGCCTATCCAGAGTGTTGCATATCATATACATACTTTCCTATTTGAATGCACAGGAGGAAACACCAGTAAAAGTCATAAGACTCGAAGAAACTAACTTGTACGCGAGCGCCACCAAAGCTCTCAACACAGCTCTAAAAACTACCATTGGGTTGGCAATATTTGGAGGACTATTCTGCATGATTGGCGGGTGCTTTGGGATCTTATTCGCCAAGAGGGTAAGTGTTAGCACAAGATATATACTGGGGCGGAACCATAAAAATTCAAGCCCAAAGCCTCCTCACCCCAAAATTTAGCACCCAACGAAAAATGTGTTGAGTTTCTATAATTATAGTTGCTATCCACACCACCCCCAAAGCTTACTAGCTTCTACTGCCTCTGTAATACATGTACAAAGATATGGGGAACACGGGGTGTAAAGTATGGTGCAAATACTATTCCCTTGGCTTCTTTATCAGTACTGAAACAATTTTACTTTCGTATTCTTTTATCTAAAATAAACCATGCAGGCTGAGGTGTTTTTCAAAGAAGGAGACTTCCCTGCAGCAAAGAAACTGGTTCGCGCGTCATATGCGTGTTCTTTTGGTGCTCTAACTGTGTACGCCACAACGTACTTTGTTTCTTTCATCATTCTAGTCATATGCATACGTACAATGTATATACACTAACCCAGTGTTGTATATATCTGTGAATAATTGTGTGACTCGTGCATTTTCGTTTCCTCTACCTCTTGTCTGTCTGTTAAAATTATTTCCACTCCTTGTTTCATGATAAAAGAGATGTTGCTATTCCCAAGAGTGTTAAGCTAATGGACTTTCACTTTGAAAATAAACAAATCTTGATGAAGAGCGATAACAATGGTATACCGTAAGAGATCAAAGCTGGTGAAGAATGATGCTTACAACATCTGTCTTTTCATTGCTGATTCCATCATTCATTGTCTCTGGAGGCATCCATTTCACTGGGAGTCTAGTATTTCCTCCACTTCTGTAGTACTCTATATTGTACACATCTCGTGCCCAGCCCAAAGTCTCCTACTAGCACCATACCCTCTTCATTCACCCTGAGGTGTACATGTAAATCTTACTAACGTGGTCAACTGGTATGGTAGAGCTTACATGCAGTTGCGTGCTGCCAGGTCGCGATGAACAAACTTGTTATCAGTCAGATACTTCATTCCTTCAGCTATCTCCATGCACATCCGGACCAGATCCCCAAATGTTAACCCCTATTCAATACAGAGAGAAATGGTTGTCTTCAACTTGCCAAAACACGTACAACAGGAAAATCATCAAAGTTGGTTGGGTGGACTCTCTTTGCTCTAAGGAAGTTCTTGACAGATCCATTGGCCATGAATGGTAGGATGATGTAAGGAGAATTGTCGGGAGTGTCGAAACACACTCCCAGGAGACCGAGAATGTGAGGATGCTGAAAGTCCTTCATGATCAGACTCTCTGCAAGAAATGATCGCAGCTGGTCCTGTGTTATTGCTGCACGTACACAGTTATTATTAGAGAGTCGGTAGACTCTCTATATAGGGATGACACGGGTGAAATCTCACGTGATCCGCGTACAAAACGACTAAAAACTCGGTGAGAATCACTTCCTAGGCCTTCAAAACATACTAGCAATAGTCTACGGGCCCATATCTACCTATACATGTCCCCCAAGAGCTAATACGCACCTTCAGTCGTCCACGCGAGAATTCGCTCATACGCGATTTGACGATTTTCCTGTCATCATATTCTTCTTCTTCTTCTTCTTCTTTAAACCCGCTATCTCCTTACCAGTACCAGTTCAAGCACTGATTTTTTCACTGAAGGTCTCAAATTTCGCCGGAGGTGTGCACGGACATCAAGCGATCGTTTCTTTCTTGCCTCTAGTCACTACGGTAGATCATGGAGCTCTTCCCTGGTCGACCTGAACAACGCCATTTGCTGCTTACTCAGCATCAGTGATCCGCGCGCATGCGCCAGGCAAGGGACGTTGTACAATGTGCTTGCGAGCGTATTCTACCGGGCGAGTTGGCAGACCTGCAGAGGAATTGTCAGCCTCCAGTACCTTCTGTAAGTAAGTGTGCACATTTCCAACTGGCTAGCTTGCTGTTGATATCCACGAAGAGCAACTTGCCAGAATCTGCGCGGTGTTACGCGAGCCTTGCGGGGCACTCAGTCAAATGGGCCTTCATTGTTTGTCCCCCCCAGGTTGTAGCCTGATTACCAAAGCCTGCCAATGAAACCACAACCAAGTGCAATAATCTAATTACATCCTTGTTGAAGACAATACATGGTATCTAGCAGCCCATTAGCTACTACTTTCAATTTGTCTATGGTAGCCTATCTACAACATAGCCATGAACATCAGAGTGACTGTAACAATAAATGCAGTGTTGCCAGAAGCTGTTAAAAATAGTGGAAACAAGTAGAAAAATCATTTCTTCAAAATGAAAGGGGGATATAGGGATGGCTTGAAGCACCAAAAAGGAAGAAACAAGGGGTCATTACACAGCAAAGATGCACAAAGCTACATGACACCATCCCTATATCTTTGTTTTATTGTTTATTAATATCAAACAATATCAAACAAAGATATAGGGATGGTGTCATGTAGCTTTGTGCATCTTTGCTGTGTAATGACCCCTTGTTTCTTCCTTTTTGGTGCTTCAAGCCATCCCTATATCCCCCTTTCATTTTGAAGAAATGAGTTTTCCACTTGTAACACTAATACAACTAGCTACTGTCATAGTGAAATTCCTTTCAATATGTGATGGTCCTATTGTTAATGAGTGTGACAAGGAAACACTTAGTATCAATTAAGTTATGTGTGGTGTGCATGCTTAAGCGCTTTCATCCGAAAAGCACTGAAGTGCAAACCCTCGGCGAACTGCGCATGCGCGATAATGCGGCTGTATGGATGGTTTAGTCGTGTAGTAGTAGCTCGCGGAGAGTATGACACAGGCTAGCTACAGTAGTAGAGCGGGAGTCGAGCATGCCATTCGTTGTGACTTCTTGAGCCCCCAAGGTAAACAGAGCGAGCAGATCAGGTCGCGGTAAGCCCAGTGAGCAGTTGGCTTTTTCGCTTGTTTTCACGGCATATCTCTCGAACGCAGTCGTTTCAGGAAAATCGGCACAAAATTTCTGACCTTCATTGCCCGTTAATATGGTACCTTGCTCAAGCGACTCCCGTCTTTACGGCCGGATATCTGGACTACCTTCAACTTTGGGTCACACTCTTAGGCAGATTCAAGTTGCTTAGAGTCTTAAAGGTCCTCTGCGAACCACTATGTTATTTCCTACGCTCTGGTCTTTGTCATCCGCTTATCGCAAAGTAGTTGATACCTCTCCTCGCGGCAGCCATTGCAGGCCAGGTCGGCCGGCCAAAGTGGGTGGGGTCTTGTAGCTCTCAAATGCGCATGCGTCAGTTTCCATCCACTGATCTCGCGCGCGAAGTGTGACGGCAGCGGTTTGCGTTAGAGAAGACTTAAAAAAGTCGTATTATCATAACCACTTCCCCACCGCGGCCTGTACTGTACGACGCGTCATCGATGGTGTGGCGGCTAGATAGGCGCGCCATATAGGCGCCGCTGGCTAGTCCTGCGCAAGCGCAAGCGCGTGGCCGTCGTATATGTCCGTTCACAACAAATTTGCGGGACGGGTTACCATAATTATGGGTATAAAACGAGCGGCGCGGCGCGCTCACACATTCCTTATAGCGGCGGCGGGCGCTCACATTCCTAGCGTTTCCGGCACCTAACTCTCCTGAGACCAGCCACTGCTGCACAGTTTTAGCAGTAGCAAGGAGTCTGTGCACGTTGTTGGTCCAGTTCACATTCAACAGAGAAAACAATGGATACAAAAGTAAGAGCTGAGTGCCACTGTTCGTTGCATAATGCACACAGCTAGTGTGCCTGTATAACTGTAGATGAAAAGCATTCACTACAGCAATACTACGTGAATCCTGACAAATGTTGCAAATCGTGGAGTTTTCTCTTTTATTGACTGTATACACAGCAACCGAACTACACAAAGGCAATTGCACTTGATAGAGCCCATCCCTACCCATCGGCTCAGAAAGCTCTCAACTCTGCAATTACCACTACCATAGGACTGGGGCTGTTTGGTGGACTGTGCTACGCTACCTGCTGCGGCTGCTTCGCCATAATCTTGGCCAAAAGGGTGAGTCGGTTCGAACACATCAATCGAAATAATGCATTGTACGGTGGGGGAGAGTAAAGGAAAGGCTAGTGTAGTTTTGGTCAACAAAGGAGTAGGTTTCCATGCGATCTGAAGCTCATCGTTTTTCCCAGACCTAAGAGAATGCGCATGGTGAATATAATTTATACAAGCATTTGTATTGCAAGCCAAGCTATCAAGCTGCGCTTTTTATTGTAGGGAGAGATGGAAGCCAAAGAGAATGAAGGGAAGAGGTAGCAATTGAGCTGAAGTTTTTAGCAAGTCGATGTTTCAAGTTAACTCTGTAGTGCATGAATTCGGGTTTTGGCTCGTTACTGGCAACTTAACGCCTTGTGGGGATGAATCTCATTAGTTCAGAACCGCAGGAGCTGCGCCTGAGCAGAGCCTTGTGGGGATGAATCTCTATTAGGTCAGAACCGCAGGAGCTGCGCCTGAGCAGAGCCTTGTGGGGATGAATCTCATGAGTTCAAAACCACAAGTGCTGCACTCAACTTTGCCTTTATAAACTCGTGTGATGCCAGAGAGAGAAATTGCGGGCGGTATGCTTTGCTGATGAGGGCTAACAAGCCCGAAACAGGTGTCCAGAGCTCCGCATCTTTTTTCTCTTGGCATCACATGGTCTATTGTTACATGCCATACTGGTATATAGCACGAAGCGGAGCTACTCACACCCGCTCTCCTCAAACAACATAATAATTATGCAATAGATCGCCATTTTGGCAAGCAAGCAAGAGCTTTTAAATCTTCACGCATATTTACTATAATTATACTGAGGGTAACATCCTTTATGAAAAAAACATGCACTTCACACCTCAAAATTTTAACAGGTGTTACTAGCATTTCATTTTCGTTACGCCAGGTGGTGTCTCTCTCTCTTCAACAGGCTTTGGTGAACGTGAGCAAGGGAGATTTCGAGACAGCGTCGAGATTTGTTTGTGCATCGTTTGCTTGTTCCATTGGTGGAGTCATTCTTTTTGCCCTGACTTGTGCAGTCCTTGTTATTTCATTCGTTGCATACATTCGTATGGTCTACTTATCCGAATGACTCTTGTCTTCATAATAACATCATGCATACATTCCTCATTACGCCTGAATTTAAACCGGTATGTGAATGCAGCGCAATTTTGGCAAAAATGCCAGTGATAGGGCATGACTTTGAACAACTGTATAAATAGTACATTTGAACTTTTGAACCGCTGTTTTAATAGTACGTCAGGTTTACGGATCCACATTGGTATATACAGTGACGTTGTTCTCACAACGAGAGAAAAGACGTGCAATTGAGACAACGGCTGACGTTTCGCTCACAAGTTTCCCAGTTTAACCCTTCCATTTCCCCTTGAAAGAAACTCTTTGCAACCAAGGGAATGGAAAAGAGAAAGAACAGCACCATTTTTCACCTAATCCTTACCGTAATTGAAATACGGTAGGTAAAACCCACAAATTTCTGGCCACAAAAAATCAAAACACTTTTCACAGCTAAATACACAGCAGTATAAAGCAGCGTCCAAAAGCCCTATTATCACATAAACAACACCTAGCATCAGTAATTTACTCATTATTTCAGGTTTGCAGCAGCAAGTTTATAAGAATAATTCCTCATTTCTTCCTTCTTTTCATCCCTGCAACAACACATAATGATGATAGATAAACCAATAGAGAGAGAGAGGGTCTATATAATAGTTAGACAGTGAGTCCGTGAAATCTACGCGATTTAGAAGGCCGAGGGCCCTGGGCTGTAGCGTCCGAGCGTAGCGAGGACGCTACTAAGGGCCCGAGGCCTTCTAAATCGCGTAGATTTCATTGGACGAGCCTGCCTAACTTATTTAGAGCGGGCGCAGGCTCTGCGCGCCCGTAGCAACCAAAACGCTGTTTTCGAACGTTGCACGGTAAACTTCTACATGGCCCCCGGAAACGCCAGTAACTCCACGAAAAGGGCTAGGAAACGGGCATTCATCGAGAGCGATTCCGACTCCGACTGATCCGGTCTTGTCATCACCAGACTATTTACCCCGCACACTCACTGACCATTAGCGAGCACAGTAATACTATGTTGAACTCAGCGCGTGGTTTTCTAATTAACGCGCACCTACTATATGCGCGCGCACAAGCACTTAGAATACACGAAAACGTGAAATCTACTAGATTTAGAAGACACGAAATTCAGCGTGAGTGAGCTCTAAGTGCAACATAAAAAGGAGCATTTGCCTTGTATTTCTCAAGAGCTTTTGCAAGGCGGCTTCCATACTCTGGGTCAGCCTTTGTAAAGTTCTCCACCTGAGACAACAGGGGATGAGGAGGAAGGAGGGAGGTATATAGATGAGGGGGAAGGAGGGGGAAAGCAATAGTAGAGAGAGTGAGGTATTGGATTGAGGATAACAGCAGAGAAGGAAAAAAGCAGGAGAAGCGGCAGGAGAGAAAGACCATAGGGAGGGAGAGGTGGGGTATATAATAGAGAGATCGAGGATACTATTGGCTTTGAACATACGGTTCTCTTCTGGATGAATTCAGCAGCATTTTTCAGGTGACCAGCCATGTTCTCGATGAGCCTGGTCCTAGCGGCTTCGTCCAAGACCTCCCTGTAGAATATTCCAACCTTCGGAGAGAGAGAGAGAGAAGAGAGAAGAGAAATGGAAGGAGTGAAGTGAGTAAAGGCGGGTTTTTAAGATATTTGCAGGCAAAAGAACAGCATACCTGAGAAAAGTTGTCATCATCTTTGCTCTCGTGACGGGCCACAATCTCCTTCTCAACCTGATGCAGAGACATCTGTACTAGATTTCTGAACATTTTTGAGATAAAACTACGAAAGGAGCTAAACCTGGCTGACAATAACATCGTACCTTGTCCACAGGCTTTGCACCGAATTTCTCAATGCTGTCCACCGGTCCAGAAAAGCTGTTTGGATAATAGTTGGGAGCTTCACCTGTGCAAATTGACACATTACACGAGTACATTCATTTCACTTTCATCACTGAAGTATATACCGACAAAAAGCCCATGTGTGTAAGTAATAATGCCCGTGGGTACTACTATATACACACACAAGCACAACTTCTCTCCTCCCCCATCTCTCCCATACCATCACAAACCTTGGTTGCCATCGACGGCCATGAAGCCATCTCTCTGATAGTTGGCATAGGGACAGAGAGGTCGGTTGACGGGGATCTGCTGGAAGTTGGGACCGAGACGATGACGATGGGTGTCGTCATATGACATCAGTCGCCCCTAGCAACAGGAGAGAATGAGAAAACAAAAGGGGAGAGAGGAAAAGACAGTGTGAGTGTCATAAGGAGAAAAGAGAGAAAGAGGGAAATAGGAAGTTAGAAAAATTGCACTAGTGCACACACATGCTTGTTGCAATGCACACAGCTACTTACTTACCTGCAACATCTTGTCAGGGGAGGCCTCAATGCCAGGTGGCATGTTGGCGGGGCTAAAGGCAGATTGCTCCACATCGCAAAAGTAGTTCTTTGGGTTCTCGTTCAGAACCATCTTCCCAACTGGGATGAGAGGGAAGTCCTTGTGGGACCACACCTTCATAGAGGAGAAGAGGGAGGGGGATACGGAAGGGAGGAGCTATGTAACTATTTGGTGGACACTCTTATTTACTAAACCTCTGGTTCTATTACTTAGGGCCGTCAGTTGCATTTGTGTAACAACGACCCAATGACATGTAAAGATGTGAGTGAACAATGGTAGCTTGCTATAAGTTAGACTTAGCTCAGCCCTTGGACTTTTAACCCATTGCTGAGAGTTAAAGGTGCACAGTAGTTACCTTGGTAACATCAAATGGATTGTGCTTGCGCTTGGCAGCCTGTTCGTAGGTCATGACCTGAATGTACATGGTCCAGGATGGCTGGAATGGGGGAACGGGAGCATGGGAATGGGGGAATGGATAATAAAACAAAAAGTAACGACTGATGTGAAAAAGGGATACTGTAAAGTAAAACTTATTCCTCCATGTATACAAACATACATAATATGAGGTATTGTGAATGAAAGGATTTATGATGATGTCATTGATAGAGAAGATGACATATAGACATACAGGGTTGCCGGTGGCGATGGCCTCGAAGAGGTCTCTGATGGAGTAGTCAGGGTCGCGACCTGCCAGAACCTCGGCATCGCTGGCCAGGATATTCTTGATACCTTGGTCCGTCTGAGGTGGTGGGGGGATCGAGCAAGGATAGGAGATAATAGGAAGGGAGAGGAGAGAAAGTAGGGAAGAGGAAAGGAGAAAGAACAATGTGGACACTTAATGCTGTCTCGATTGGTGTCCTTGATCAGAGGGGTTCTACTGCATGATTGGTGAGCCCACCTAGTCGCCTGAATGTGGGATTCTTCTACTATGTGTGAGCACTGCCGCACAACACCGTAATGTTATACACGATTCCAAATACGCGTGAAACGCACGAAAAATGGAACTGCTAACCTGCTCGCTAAATTGCATTCGTTCTAGTATTAAATGTAAGTGTAGCAACAACTAGCCATGAAAGATATGTACATATAGTACCTTGAGGTGGAATTTGCAGTAGACTGCCTCATGGTTCTTGTTGACCAGTTTTGAGTATGTGACCCGTAGCCATTCATGTGGCGATAGCCGTCCGGAATACCACGATCACCAAACAGGAACGATACCTGTGTGTGTGTGTGTGTGTGTGACAACACAGACGGAAAATGTACACATTATGCTATATTATGGTAAAATGTACATTATATGCTATTATGTACTAGTATTGTATGCACACTTAATTCATACATAAAATGTTCATCCATCAGTGCAAAGGTGCATAAATGCAGAGGCAAATGGCAATGCAGAGATGACATAGAAACTCATTCAGTTTACTCATGAAATTTAGAAGGCTTCCAATGTGTATTTTGCATGCATCTGTGTTAGTGTGAGTGAGTGAGTGTTGCACTGCATGTCATGGAACAAAGTTCCCAACCTGATGGGAAGTCTCCGGACGCAGAGAGATGAAAGTCCCAGAACATGTTGGGATCCTTCAGGTGAGTAACCGGGTTCCTCTTCTGCGTGTGGATGAAGCTGGGAAAAGCGTGGTCGCGGATGAAGAAAATGGGAGTATTGTTCCCCGTGAGGTCCCACAGTCCCTCGTCAGTGTAGAACTTCATTGCAAATCCGCGAGGATCCCGAGCAGTGTCTGCACTTCCACTTTCTCCACCTGGTAGGAGTGAAAGAGAGGGATGGTTGAAAAGAAAGGCAAAATGTATGTGTCAACAAGGTATGAGGTAGAAAGGCAAGGCAAAGCAAACATTCAACTCATGAGAGGGGGAGGGGGGGAAGTGGTAGATAAAGAAGGAGAGAGGGTGGGAGAAGGGAGGGGAAAGGAGAAAGTGGTAGATAAGAAGGAGAGAGGGTGGGAAGGGAGGGGAAAGGAGAAAGTGGTAGATAAAAGAAGAGAGAGGGTGGGAGAAGGGAGGGGAAAGGAGAGAGTGGTAGATAAAAGAAGGAGAAGGCGATGTGGAGAAGGAGACCGAAGAGACAGTGTAGATAAAAGGAGATAGGGTGGGACATGGCGGGGAAAGAGAGAGTGGTAGATAAAGAGAGAGAGAGGTGGGAGAGTGGGGAAAGGAGAAAGTGTAGATAAGGAGGAGTGGAAAGGAGGGGAAAGGAGAAGTGGTAGTAGCGTCGTGCGGTGGCCCTTCTCGTTGTCCATCGCCCTCTTCGCTGTTGTCTCCCGTTCTGGTTCCCGTCGCCTGTGTGTCGCTCCCCGCCGCGCGCGGGTGTGGCTCGCGGACGGGCCCGGCGCGCGTTGTCGCTCCCCCTGACGCGCGGTGGCGCGGCGGCTCTCCCTACCGCGCATCTTGCGCATATGTGACGAACCCGGATTCGCGAAATGCCATTCTGAATAAACAGGATACTCATTTAGTGTACTCACTTCTCCTTTCCTTCTCTCTCTTCTCCCTAGCTCTAATTAAAGCCCCCCTCTCATCTCTCTCTTTCACTCCTCTTCCCACTCTTGGTCACTCACCGACAGTTGAGAAACGGACAACTACTCTCGTCTTCTTCCCAACGGAACTGAACACACTGGCCTTGCAGTACTTGGTGATGTCGTGAGTTACCTCAAAATACCCAAACGCTCCTATGTAGAATTATAACACAATACATTAACAACCAAATTACCACACTAATTGCGCATGCATTCGGGCCTTTCTTACAGGATATAGAAGTGTTCCCTGTGAACTCTGTACCCTTGTATGTACATACATTTAGATGTATAATGCATAACATGTATAGTAGCTGTGGCTATATAGTGCCATGTGACTTGGCACAAATCACTTGGCACTATGATTAGGCATTCCAAGCATTTCAAACGACCACGCAGTGCAGCAACTGAGAATAAATATCTCACTGCGTGCCTTGTGGCTAGGAAAACGCAGCCACAACCACTAGATCTTCAGTATAATTATTGTACATTGCAACGTGTATAAATCTCAAAAGACAGCCCTGAAATAATGACAACTCTCTAATAAGGACACATTCTCACTACTACAGCACAGTAACTACCCTCCTATATAATTGCGTCATGCCATGATTAGGGGTTTCAACAGTATTTCGTGACTCAAAACTTTGTCTCAAATTCTATTACAGCACTGTAACTATACTGTCATAATGACGTCATGATTAGGGGTTTCAACAGTATACTTTTACCTCCTCCCTTGGCATGAACCACTCTTTCCGGGATTCGCTCGCGATCAAAGTGAGCAATCTCATCGAGATAGACGGTGTCCTGCAAGAGTAGAGGACCACGTGGACCAGCAGTGACACTGTTGGTCTTGTCGTCAATTGGGATTCCCTGACTGGTGGTGAGGACCGGGCATTCCTGGGTGGGAGGGGGGGGATAGGGGGGAGGAGGGGGAGGAGAGATGGAGGAGATGGAGGAAGAGATGTGCAGAAGAAATAGGGTGGGAGAGGGGGGAGGGGGAGGAGAGATGGAGGAGATGGAGGAAGAGATGTGCAGAAGAAAAAGGAAAGATTTGTACGAAGGAAAGGAGATAAAGAAGGAGGGACAAAAGCCGACAGTTTAGAGAGTTTTTTGCCCCATGTATAAACATTGGGAACAAACCACGCAGTGTATATTTTACTGTGTGCATGTTGCATCCTGCAGCAGGCATGCTTAGCAAGCAGGCGAGCACCAAGGCAGTGTACTAGGCTGCTCTGCATACACAGAGTGTGTGAGAAAAGGACACGAGATGAAAGGAAGGAAATTACTCGGAGTGCTCGAAAGCCTTGGCAGGACGGAGGGCAGGAAGCACGGTCAGATGCACGATGAAATATGAAAGTGGTGAAGTAAGCACACAAGCGCTGACACAAATACAGACGGGGATGTCACAAACTTACGAGGGATTATGTTGATTGATTGTATGTGGCGTTCTCACATAGAGAAAGAAAACCACGACCACATGTAAACATGACCAAGGCATTGTTCACATTTTCTGTTCTCATCATAAATAGAGCACATTATGATTTTTATCTTTGAGCACGCCACAATGCACCTGTCTTACTCCCTATTGTGTTGCATTGTACTGCGCACAACGCAGTTTGTACATAGCTACATACACACATTCACCTCTCAAGGGCTAGGAGGTGTAACTACGCACGTGCTATCAGGATTATAGCTGGCTGCTGTGTGGGGTCTGACTGGGCGGCCAGTCTTTTTCTCTTAGTGTTGCCTTCCGCTATGGAATAAGCGAATCCCTGGCCCACACAGACAGGATTACCCCAGCCGGGCAGGCCCGGGGCTTCTTCGGCTGTGGAACTGTACACACAACATACAGAAATGTCTCGTACAGCACGTGCACGGGTCGCAACATGAGTAGCTCCAAAAGTGATCGAGCGAAACCCAGAACGCGCAGTGAGCATAGCTAGCTAACTACCTTGACAGTTTTGGCGTAGTCCTCCAGTTGAGTGTCGCACTTGGTACGAGCTGCCATGGCTGGAGGGGATCTGCAGACCAGAAAATCAGTAGATGGGCGAAGAAACTGCTGGTCACGCCACGAGAGATCGAAGCGAGCAGGGCTGTAGGGTGGTGGTGGTGGTGTGAGAGGTCGTTTTTATGCACGGGGAGCGCGCGCGCCGGCGTTGATTTTCGTTTATAGCGTAATCGTGCATCATCAAGAGTGCGTGCGCATGCTCTGTCGAGCTTGTGGCAACATGCGCAGAGCCGAGCTTTGTTGAATACCTAACTCCGGAGTTGCTGGCGTGATTCGTCGCGCCCACGAAACGAGGAAAACTCAATCCTATTAGCGACCTTCCGTGAGGTTTATTGATGGTGTGGTTGCCTGTGTGTTCGCAGGAATCAACAAACAGTATGTATTCCTCCGTTGAACTCGGAAAAGGTCGATTGTCAGCATACCTAATCCGACCACTGACCCACGCCTTTCCTTGTTCGTTGATAGAGTAGGAAAAATGTGCATTGTCTACACGACCACCTATTGACATCTCGGAGTGCATAGCTACGTCGGTTGGTGCATGTTTGCGCTAACTTTCTGTGGCCTCACGCCTTTCCTTGTTGGTTGATCAAAATAGAGAGTAGGAAAAATGTGTCAGATTTACACGCTGCGATTCTCTTACGGCGACTCATGTCAGCTTATAGCTACATGTTTGTGCTACCTACACAATGACGCATGGATCGGTGCGTGCAGCAGCTCTATAAATACGTTCCTACTTCAACGGTTGTTCAACAGCAGATATCAACCGAACTCCGATTTTTTTAAAGAGTCTTTTACTCGCCGCGATGTCAACCGGTAGTGCAGCCGCAGTCGAGATCAGTATGGAAGAGGTGGCCGAGCTACCCATGGCCATCACGTCTGAGAATCCGATAAAGGAAGCCGCGAACGGAGATCCAGCGGAGCAGATTGAAACAACTGAGGAGAAGAATCCGCCGGAGATGCCAGAATTCGGAAAGGGAGACTCTAAGAATGAGCTACTTCAGAGCAACGATTTGGATGAAGACGTTACGCAAGACAGATTGGCTGAAGACAACGCAGACTGTCTGCAAGAGAGGCTCAAGAAGAAGAGAAATCTCGTTCTCGCAGCTGCAACCCTGCAAAGTTTCGTTGGAGAGTTCGTCGGAACGTTCATTCTCGTCACTGCGATTTGTACCGCGGTGACGTTGGCCGTAATTGTCGGGGCACTATCTGGACTCTGGCAGGTGACCGTGTGATTGGTATCGGTCTGGGGCTAGCAATTTACATCAGTGCGCACATCTCCGACGCTCACCTCAACCCCGCCGTCACCCTCGCCTTCGCTATCGTACGTTATAGGGTCTTTTCGTGGAAGAAAATCCCGATCTATGTCACTGCGCAGATGCTGGGAGGATTTTTCGCTGCAGCCATAATGTACGGGTTTTATCACGGCGCGGTGGAGTCTTTCGAAGACAACCTTGGGTTGGAGCGCGGAAGTAACGGGAGCGAGAGGACGGCCATGATTTTCGGTGAATACTTTCCGAACCCCGCCGCGTTCGGAAGCGACACGAGCATCGTCTCAATTGCCGAAGCGTTTTTTATCGAAGCCTGGGGTACGGCAGTGCTGGTATTCGTCATATTCTCTTTGACGGACTCCCACAACACGACTGTGGGGAGCGGCAACAATAAGGTCGTCGTGCCGATATTGATCGGTCTTACGCTCTCCTTCCTCGTATCGATGTACGGACCATTGACGCAGGGAGGCTACAACCCAGCGAGAGATTTCGGGCCTCGTCTCTTCGCCGCGTTGGTAGGATGGGGGAGAATCGCTATTCCTGGACCGCGGAACGGGTTCTGGCTGTACATCATTGCACCGCTGATCGGCGGACCAATTGGCGGTGCTCTGCACGACCTGGGCGTGGCCAACATCACTCGACTGAAGAGATTTGTTAAACCTGCTAAGCAATTCTAGAGAAATACATTTTGTATGACTTCAAACGTCGTACGCATGCGCGCGCGCGCACACACTTCGTTCGCGCACCGTGCACGTGAGCGCTAGTACCACCACCACCACATGCACATGCATGCACACGCGCACACCGTGTGTGTGTGGTGGTAAAGATCAGACCATGGCCAGTCGGCGTGTAAGTATTCCTGGGTTCTACTACGACGAAGAAAAACAGCGGTACTTCCGTGAGCCTCCCAAGCATCTGGCCTACATGCGGTCTGAGCAGTTAGCAACACCTTGCAAGAAGAAGCGAGACACCAAAACCAGGTGTGATACTGTTTCTGTATCGTCGAACTCGGGGAGGTGCAGCAGGCTGGGATATGCGTGTGGGACTGCTCTAAGTGTTGTCCCGAAGTCGGTGTTTAGGTTGGCGTCTCGCATGCCCTCGTGTCGTGATCCCAGCTTGCTTCAACGGACTCTTCCCCAGACCCTTGTTTCTAGCTCGAAGTTCGTCGGCCGTATTTCCTGCAGTGTTGTGAAAGATATGAAGTGCAACATACGGGGAGACTTAGCTGTGTTTGGCAACGACGATAATGAACTAGACGTCCTTCAAGTCTCCCTCGTGCCACCTCAAAGACGAATACGTCTGTTGCGTGCTACAAGAAGTGCGATGGTTGCCAGAATGACGGGAATATCTGCTCATGGGACAAGTTCAGATGTGGTTGTGATTTTCGAGGGATGCTGTGTTCATGCGCTGACATTTGAAAAAGGCAGGGAGAGTTGGGAAAAACATGTTTATTACGACTTTAATGCCCACTTTCCTCGAAACACATTTTCGAGGGATTTGAAAGGCGTTGAGCTAATTTCCTGCCTACCGAGATTTTCTGGAGGTGTTTTGTGTGCAGTCTCTTATGTCAAAGGTCACACTGGCAAAGTATCTATTCTAAGCTTGCCAGACGGGCACACCTTGAGTTGTTCAGGCAGGTACTCTATGGGAGAGGAAAAGATTCTGTCGCTGAATTTTCGCCAGGAGCCCCTACTTCTCTATGCTGGTACACGCAGTGGAATCATAACATCTTGGGACTTACGGTCCAAATCAAAGGCTTCAACAATTACCGTCAAAGCGGATGGCAGTATTAGACCAAGCGTGATAAGGCTTCATTCTATCGACAATGATTATCTCGTCACAAGCTGCATGGATTCCAGACTTCTTTTGTGGGACTGCAGAATGCAGAACCGACAGGTCCTTTCGTATGCCGAGCACCGCAACTCCCACCACTGGTGTCAAAGTATTGTCAATGAATCGCAAGGTTTTGTGGCGTCAGTTGAAGAAGACAGATCCATTCTCATCTGGTCGACTTGGAGAGGAAGGCTTCTCAGGCGTATCCAAATGTCAATGTATGTAAGTGATGAGGCAGCTATGGATGGGGTGTTCCCAGTAATTTGTCACACCGAGAGGCTTGGCGGTGTTGAAGGAGCTCAAGCACTGTTGATTGGAACACCGGAAGGCGTCAAGGCATTTACATGATACCATGTTTTTTGACCGCCTCTGTTACGCGTGAGTGCGCATGCGCCATAACGCTCGAGCGACACGCGTTCTAACGCTGTCCTGCTGCATTCCAGTCGCTAAACCTACATTTTCACGATAAAATTACGCTTTAGCGCCAATTTTGTCATTGAGGCTTCTCACGTCCGCAAGCCATGGAAGCTACAAATCAAATAGCTACAGTCGAAAAAAAGAACGAGCTCCTTCACGTAGAAGAAGGCATTCCCCAGGCCGAAAAGATCTCGGACCGCCTTCGGCGAAAACTCACAAAGAAGCGATGTCTCACCGCCGCCGCCGCAGGCCAGATATTCGCAGGGGAGTTCATCGGGACGTTTATTCTCGTCACTGCAAGCTGCACCACTACAACGTTGGACGTAATCGTGGGCGCGTTGTCGGGTCTCTGGCAGGTCAGCATCTTGATCGGTGTGGGTCTGGGCATCGCAATATATGTCAGCGCGCATGTCTCTGACGCTCATCTCAACCCCGCAGTCACCCTCGCCTTCGCTATCGTACGTTTTAGAGTCTTCAAGTGGAAGAAGATTCCGATATACATCACCGCACAGATGTTGGGCGCATTTTTGGCGGCGGCCATAATGTTCGGGTTTTATCACAGCGCAGTTGAGTCTTTCGAAGACAACCATGGGTTGGAACGCGGAAGTAACGGGAGCGAGAGGACAGCCATGATTTTCGGTGAATACTTTCCGAACCCCGCCTCGGTCAGAAGCGACACGAGCATCGTCTCAATGGCCAAAGCATTTTTTATCGAAGCGTGGGGCACAGCAATCCTTGTCTTCGTCGTTTTTTCCCTCACTGACATCCACAATACAACGGTGGGGAGCGGAGAAAATAAAGTCGCCGTACCGATGTTAATTAGTCTCACGGCTTGTTTCCTGATTGCAATGTACGGACCATTGACGCAGGGCAGCTACAATCCAGCGAGAGATTTCGGGCCTCGTCTCTTCGCCGTTATGGCCGGGTGGGGGAAAATAGCTATTCCTGGACCTCGCAACGGGTTCTGGCTCTACATCATTGCACCGCTGATCGGAGGGACCGATCGGCGGCGCTCTGCATGATCTGGGCGTAGCCAACATCGTGCGATTCGTTAAACAGACACGTAAAAAATAATCAACTCGTGCATTTGATCACAGACTTGTTTTCCCTACTGGGATGATTTGTTTATTTAGCGTTGTACTAGCTGGCATAGTTTTTATATCATTTAAATTGATCATCATTTTTCTGGGATTGATATTCTTAGATCGTTTATCTGTTTATATTCGGGGCGCCTTGGCCACCATCATTGCGCATTGCGCGCGCGCATCCTCACGCATGCGCAGTAGCCTCGCGGAGCCACACCATCTCATCACTGCCGTAGCTCCGCGCGTCCGCGAGGCGAGCGTTCGCGCTGAAGAACGACAATCATTCACTGAACTGTGTGTACTTCTCAAGGTCTACTGGGATGAAGAACATTTCTATGTAGTCCAGATAATTCAAGCAAAGTCAAGCGCAATATTATAGCTAAGCGCAGATATCCATTGCGCATGCGTATTTCACTGTTTCGTAACAAGTTCATACACATCAAGCTGAGTAAACTAACAGGTGTAGCTAGAAAATCATAGTCCACAGTTAGTACCACATGTAGCTCCACCACTAAAGGGTAGATATAAACCTCACAACACATTCAACAAAAGGTTCATAGAGATCGGGCTTTGATAGCCCATGGTTCCCCGCAAAATAATTGCACTCCACGTGACTTGAATATTTTTTCAAGATTGTAACCATCCTCTCTGCAAATTTTTTCTGGGCAGAAATATCTGGAACGGCCTCATCGTTTTCCGAAAAGCAGAGTTGGATTGGGATTTTGACAGATTTTAGTATGGGATTGAGTTCTTCTTCAGTCAAGTCAGTAGAAAACATGTCATCTTCCGTTAGCCTTCCTGACAAACTAAGTAACCTGAAAGAGTAACAATAAAATGAAGCAGAAACCCTCGCCTCAATGTGTCTGTCCGAAAACCCATATATACTGGCAGCATGTGTATATATATAATATATATATAATTATATATATATTAAGCTGTGCAGTTTTGAAACGAGTATAATTATATGTATTCTTTTTTCAGATGTTGGATTTGATAATTATACCTGTGCTCCACGTACGTAACTTCCATAAAATTGAAGGATTAGAGTCATTTTTTTGCCACCACGCTCCCTGTGGTGGTGTAATCCAGGCATTAAAAACGAAGCTTGAAAGATCAGTTCAACAAGCTGGGGGTATATACCTAACTCCAGACAGGTATATATATCTCTGGACATGGGGAGGAACACCAGACTTGAAATTATACCTGAAATGATTCACTGTCCAAAAACTTCATTTTTTTCCCCTAGCGCTTTGGTGGGTAAATCAAGCGCAATTGTATCTGAATGGCATATAGTGTCTGGGTGCCAAGTGTTACCCATAATGTGTATATATACCTTACCTATTGGCAGTGATAGGAGCTCCAAACAGCCTGTTGGAGAGTAGGCCCTCTCCTTTTCCATCCGATTTCAACCTCTCAGCCTCTTCTTTCATTGGTGAAACGTATTGTTCCGTCGCCATAAACTCCCTATCGCTGACACCGCTGTGGAGAATAACGGCGTTGACTAGGGACGTGGTGGCTGGTTTTCCGTGGCGTAAGAAATAGACTACATCTTGAGCCCCGGTGGAATGGCCGAGCAGCACGATTTTGCCGAACCCGAAGCGCGTCTTGAGGAAGCTCACGTGCTTCTCCAATTCTCTGCAGTCTGTCGACAGACTCTTGAATCCGAACTGAGACCACGAGCTGGACAGGTTCACCATCACAACACTGTAGTCCTCCCCGAGGAGCGCTCGCGAGAGGGCCTCCGTGTACGCTAGCGCCAGAAATCCCTCCGTAAGCCCCGCTATCAAGACTAGGGCATTCTTACAGACCTCCCGACCGGCTCCGTAGGTCACAAAGGCTACCAGGTTGGGGTTTTCTTCACACACGCGAACCAACTTCCCGTCCACCATGATGCCACCAACCACGTTTGTTTCTACGCATGCGCAAGCTGAACGCGCAGGGAATAAAGAAAGTCCGAGGTCGTTCCGCAGGTAGTTAGCAGAATGTCCGTCTACGGCTCCGTTTTTTTCTTGGTGCTAATATTGAGTAAGTTTTACAGAAACAGTACGCTTTTACGTAGTGCGAGCTAATCTTTTCACTCTCCGCAGGTTATGCTGCAACACAAAGCACGAACCTATCTGAATGTGGATCCATAGAGTAAGTGAGTAAGTAAACGGCCGACTTTATTGTATATACGAGCACTCTGCTAAAAACTATACGAGCTGTGTATATACGTGTGGCTCGCTAACACAAACCCCTATACCATAAGGTAGAGAAGTATTATAGCTAACTACAGCAGCACTACTGAGACACTGCTATGAATTATGGTAATTAACTTTTCTTCTCTGTGTATATACCACAGGGAATCAACTCTCTGCAGCAGTTTAGGGGGACGGACAAGTGACTACATTACACCACCAAACCTCCCTCCCGAAATTCAGCTAAACATTGCAAGTGTTGGGTACAGTGACCTAACACTGCGACTCCTATTAGAACAGACCGAGTCACCAGAGGCTTGCTACGAGTTTGCGATACATCAGCTGTGCCTAGTAGTGGCACCACCGTGTAACCCAAACACATTCGCTCCCTTGCTTCTCTGCCCTGAGACTTGCCTTGCTTACGACAGACTCATTTCGAGTCGTTTATGCGACAGTTATGTGGATGAAATCATTCAAACCTTGGAGAAAAGTTCACTGGACTCATTGAGGGCACTCGCAAACCGTTTCAGAGTCTTCAACTGCTCTGATCCAGCAACCTACTTTCAGAACAGGACAGCAGAATTTGAGAATTCTTCCTGTACAAACCTCTTCAGTCCAAACACCCAAGGTGCTGAGCTGTACTACAAGTTGCCTAATTTGCATGTAGCTATATACATCATGACCAAGCCTGATTACACATTCGTAATGTACTGAGCGGCAAGTGTAGCTATGGTGCTATGATTTGTCTTTTTACAGAGTCAATCATGAGCATGGAATCACTTTTCAGGTTAGCAGTTGATCATGCACATACTTGTCTAATTGCTAACAAATTGACTGTGTAATACCATACAGCTGTGTGCCTGTGTCCGGGTCACCATGTCAAGCCTGGTTCCCTGGAACTTTCACAAGTGCCATTCTAGTCCCAGGCCGGGGAGAGAAGGAAGAGGATATCTTTATCACATTGGCCAAAGTATCTCCGTCCTTGGACGACACGTGCAGCCAGTGGCTGAATTTCATTGCATGCAATTACCTCCACCCACAATGTAATGAGAATGGTACGTTTCTCGATAGACCTAACCCTGACAATTATTGTAGTGGGACTCTTTAAAACCTTTGAAATTCAGTGAAGTGGACTAGCTACCCAAAAGGGACACTCCAAATATAAGACACCTCTCTATATACTATAAGGACACTACCTCGTTTCTGCCTCTTGATACATACCAGTACATTTCCTTGAAAAAAAACCTCTGTCCTGGAGATATTGAAAGTGTCCTTTACACAGAGGCGTCCCTTATTCAGAGGTTTCACTGTACACATGCAGGCGAGCAGGTGGTACTATGTGAGGGTGAGTGTGAAGCGATAGCCCGAGTATTCCTGGAAGGCTGCAGTATAGCTGAGATATTGGAGACTCTGAACACCACAGAAATGAGCTATACTTTCTTGAACAGACAACAGCAGGTCGACTGTTCAGACTCAGACACATATCTCATCCCTACTATTCCAGTCGATAACTCGTCATGCTTGAGTGCAACTCATTTGTTGAGTATGTCTTGTATTGGTAAATTAAGTCCTTTCATGCTGGCTGGTCTTTTCCCCAGGTATCGATGAAAATGACAACACCTTAAGCGGTATGGTATGACATAAACAGAACACACAATGCACTATTCTGAGTGTGACAGCTGTGTGCTTCCTCCTTTTGAAATTCACATGCATGCATTGCCTTCTACAATGCTAACCATGCACACATATGTATATACACACATGCAGATGCGTACATAGGTGCTATTGTTGGTGGAGTGGTACTAGTTCTGCTGGTGGTACTACTGACTGTGGCGCTCATAGTCTTGTGTACTAGGACCAGAGCCAGACAAAAAATGGTGGAGATGTGGATGTCACATGATGTTATGGGCCACTTGACACTCTCTCAAAGGTATATATACAGTGGAAACTGTGATTAGGGACCAGGACGACCTTTCTACAAAGGACACTTATTTCGACCCCATGCTAATACTTGTGTATATTATTTGACCTCCGAAATAGGGATCATGTCTCTACAAGGGACTGTGACAACTGACAAGTGCACCTTGTTCAGAGGTTCCACTGTAAAAATTAGCCAGAAACTCTTTCGTTTACTCAGAGTAGGATAGCAGTTGAATCCAAAGAGCAAACAATTATTTTGTTCTCAAGGGTATTAGGTCATGAAATCCAGCCATGGTCAAATTGCATAGTGGGAACAAGGATCAATTACCGCAGGAAATTCTGTCATGCATTCTCTGTTGATGTACACTCGCGACACCAAAGCAAAGTGTGACAATAATGTTCAATCCTCAATTGTATTTAGATCAGGAAACTACCAATTACATAGTGAAAGCACAGCGTCTAAAACAATGGAAAGGTTACTATAGAGAAAGTTATTTTTTGTGTCCTTCCGTAGGTTGTCCCTTCAGTTGCAAGGAATTAGAAGAACCCTAAGTAGTCATGAACATCGATTAGAGAGTGAGTTTAAAAAATCGGAGAACTTCATAGATGAACTGAACCACATAACTATTATCTAGGAGGAGAGGTTGGTTATAAAGAAGAACAGGAAGTATTGAGACTGCCAGAGAGGGAGCTAAAACAACTACAACTCCAGTTTGCGGGTTCAATTGTACAGTTCAGCAATCTTACTATGGACACTGAGAACTGTCTGGGCCAAGGTTGTATATTATGCTGCCTCCTTTGTTATGCATCGTGTAATAGTGTATTGGTTGATTGTGCTTAACCTCAGGTGCATTTGGGAAGGTATACTCAGGAGATATGGAGCTACGTGGGATAAGGACAAAAGTTGCCATCAAAACCATAAAAAGTAAGACAACACTTTCATTATGCGATGAATTATTTCGTGTGGCATCCACAGGGATCAGTACAGAGGATCAGCTGCAGTCATTTCTAGCAGAGAGTCTGATTATGAAGGACTTCCAGCATCCTCACGTTCTCGGTCTCCTGGGAGTGTGTTTCGACACTCCCGACAATTCTCCTTACATCATCCTACCATTCATGGCCAATGGATCTGTCAAGACCTTCCTTAGAGCAAAGAGAGTCCACCCAACCAACTTTGATGATTGTCCTCCGGTAAGCTCGTAAAAGTAGGTACGCATTCAAGGTTTCTAGAACAAACTTTTCTCTAGACCTATGACTGTGTAATTGGTTGGCTTACTATATATAGGGACTTCAGTTAGGGGATCTGGTACAGGTGTGCATGGAGATAGCTGAAGGAATGAAGTATCTGACTGATAACAAGTTTGTTCATCGTGACCTGGCAGCACGCAACTGCATGTAAGTATCACTAATGCCAGTGGATACATAGGTACTAACATTAACCACCACACAAACATAGGGTGAATGAAGAGTGCGCAGTATTGGTAGGAGACTTTGGGCTGGCTAGAGACGTATACACTGCTGAGTACTACAGGAAGAATAGTAATGGTAGACTCCCAGTGAAATGGATGCCTCCAGAGACAATGAATGATGGAATCAGCAATGAAAAGACAGATGTTGTAAGCATCATTCTTCACTGCTTTGATCTCTTACGGTGTATATATACATTTCTCTCTGCTACATCCCAGTGGTCGTATGGAGTGACGTGTTGGGAGGTGTTCAGTCTGGGTCGCAGTCCCTATCCTGGTATTGAGAATCACGAGATACTCCAGCACATCTCCTCTGGAGGGAGACTCAACAAACCAGCTCTCTGTCCTGACAAACTGTGAGCACTTCTTGTTTATTCTTTCTTAACAAATAGGGACAACTCCATATTATTTGACCAAGGGACAAAATAGTTAGCCACATAGTGTCTCTTGTTCGGAGGTTCCACTGTAGTCTTGAAACAATATTTTCATCCTTGCACAAGACTAATTCTAGTGACTAATCTCACCCTATTCATTGTTACAATGTGCTAGGTACACCCTATTTCTCCAATGCTGGTCCCCTCTGCCTGAAGATCGGCCATCATTCTCTGAACTGTGTGTACTGCTCAAAGAATACTGGGATGAAGAACATCTCTATGTGGTCCAGAACTTTCAAGTACGATAGCTACCATCAGAAGACTTTCCAACAAGTATCGTTTCGTTCCAGTTTTCAATTGCTTTATTAACGATTATTGTTATTGCTGTAGTTCAGAGACCGTTTGACATGGTTCTCGCGCATGCGCATTGTCCATGAGAGCTGGCGCGGCGAGCGTGTGCGCGTCTTTTCGCACGGAAAGACAAGAAGATACAATATGAAGTGCGAGTTATCGTTTGGTCTCCTGGTGCTGCTGATCAGTAAGTGTAATGTTCTGTACGGAGTAGCTAATAACGAGTCTCGCTTCGCAGGCTACTTTGTGAATGGAACTGAAGGCCTCAATCCACCATCAGCATGTGGAGCAGGGAAGTATGTGAACCAATGATGTATATAGCTAGTTAATGCTGATCAAACAAGCATGAAATTCTATGACATTGAATCATTTCCCCATATCCCATGTTCCAAATGTCCAGTTGTACACTGGAGTCTTTCACCATGTGCAGTAATCTAATGGGGCGAAACAGCGACCATGTGGCTGTAACGAATCACCCTCTTAAAAATGTACTCGATATTAGAGTCCAGGGACAAAATGACTTGCTACTACAACTGATCCAATTACAGACGCAGTCACCAGAGGCTTGCTATGACTTTGCAGTACATATTGTTTGCCTAGTAGCGGCACCACCATGTAACCCAAACACATCCGCTCCCTTGCTCCTCTGCCCTGAGACTTGCCTTGCACTAGACAGACTCATTTCAAGAGGTTTGTGTGAAGAATTCTCATCTGGCTTAATTCAACATCTTGAATTGAGTGATATGGAATCTACAAGAGCAGTAGCACCCTTTTTCCTTGCCTTCAACTGCTCTGATCCATCGACCTACATTCAGAACAGCACACTGGACATGTGCAGTAATCCTCTCTCACCTTGCACAAATCTCCTCAGTCCTGATATTCAAGGTATCATCTGAAAGATATGTCATGTGATAAACTTGATTCATTGTTTTGTAGAGTTTATCTTAAGCCGAGAATCGCTGTTTAGGTGAGTTGCACAAAACGACCTTCAGGTAGCTAGCTAGTTTCCTGAGTAAGTTTGGATTCCTTTAGCTGTGAACCATTGACTTGGTCTCGATGTCGAGAACTGTTTCCAGAGGAATTTAAAAATGTCACTGGCCAAGCCAGCAGAAAAGAAGACATACTCGATGCTTTGGCTGAAATATCTCCATTCCTAGATGATATATGCAGGGAGTGGCTGAACCTGATTGCTTGTACCAACATCCATTATACTTGCAATGAAAACGGTGATGTGTGTTTGTGTGTGTGAAAGGTTTGCTCGGGACAAATTGCTAAAGTATAGTCTTGTCGGACATATGCGTTTTCTTTATGCGGAAGAAAATACACATGGCCCATGAGACTATATAAACAAATGTTTCTACAGGTGAAGTTCAGCAGAGAGTACCATGTGCAGGTGAATGTGAAAGGATCGTACAAATCATTGAGGAACGATGCCACCTAGACGTAGTGTTGAAGACTGTTAACTCTACATTGCAAAATACTTTAATTGCCACACTGCAGTCAAACTGTTCAAATGCAGCTACATACCCTTTTCTTGGCGTTCTGGTTGACAATTCATCATGTTATACTGCTGCTAATCTACTACGTTTAAGTAAGAAATCGTTGAAATTTAAGTATTGCTTGCATAATTCTTTCCACAGCTGATGATGAACAGAATAGTCCCTCAAGAGGTATAATAGGACGTAGCATCCCTTCTTGCATTATTGTCATTTCCATGTAAATGTAAAGGCCTGTACACAGGTGCTATTGTTGGTGGAGCGGTATTAGGTCTGCTGGTAGTACTACTGACTGGGGCGCTCATAGTCTTGTGTACTAGGACCAAAGCCAGACACAGGATGAAGGAAATTGGGATGTCACAAGAAAACACTCAAAGGTTTTATATTAAAAGGAAACTGTAATATGCAAGAATGTACCCTATTGAGATTGTTTTCATAATACTGTAACGGATAATGTGTTTACAGTTTGACACTACAGTTGCAAAGACAAGGTGATCAGCTTCAGAATGAGAGACTAGAGTGTGGGTTATAGTTAAAGAGAGCACAGCGATATTCAAAATAATTATACACTACAGGCAGTAGTGGTTTTGACAAAAGTGGAGAAAGAGTATTGACACTGCCAGAAGGGGGGCAAGGGGAGCTAGAGCTCCAGTTTGCTGGTTCAGTTGTGGAGTTCAGTAGTCTGACTGTAGACACTGGCAACTGCCTCGGACAAGGTATATATGTATATAAGATATAATGAAGTTAGGAGACACACATGTAACTATAAACTATGGCTGTTTTTCTATTCACTGTGTTTTTCCTTTTTCACTGTTTATCAAAAGGTGCATTTGGGAAGGTATACTCAGGAACTATCATGATAAGTGGGACAAAGACTATAGTTGCCATCAAAACCATAAAGAGTAAGGCAACTATCACAAAAGCAAACTGTATAATTATATAATAACTGTGTACGTGCAGCAATAACACAGGACCAGCTGCGATCATTTCTTGCAGAGAGTCTGATCATGAAGGACTTCCAGCATCCTCACATTCTCGGTCTCCTGGGAGTGTGTTTCGACACTCCCGACAATTCTCCTTACATCATCCTACCATTCATGGCCAATGGATCTGTCAAGACCTTCCTTAGAGCAAAGAGAGTCCACCCAACCAACTTTGATGATTTTCCTGTTGTACGTGTTTTGGCAAGTTGAAGACAACCATTTCTCTCTGTATTGAATAGGGGTTAACATTTGGGGATCTGGTCCGGATGTGCATGGAGATAGCTGAAGGAATGAAGTATCTGACTGATAACAAGTTTGTTCATCGCGACCTGGCAGCACGCAACTGCATGTAAGCTCTACCATACCAGTTGACCACGTTAGTAAGATTTACATGTACACCTCAGGGTGAATGAAGAGGGTATGGTGCTAGTAGGAGACTTTGGGCTGGCACGAGATGTGTACAATATAGAGTACTACAGAAGTGGAGGAAATACTAGACTCCCAGTGAAATGGATGCCTCCAGAGACAATGAATGATGGAATCAGCAATGAAAAGACAGATGTTGTAAGCATCATTCTTCACCAGCTTTGATCTCTTACGGTATATACATTTCTCTCTGCTATATAGTGGTCATATGGAGTGACGTGTTGGGAGGTGTTCAGTCTGGGCCGCAATCCCTATCCTGGTATTGAGAATCACGAGATCCTCCAGCACATCTCCTCTGGAGGGAGACTCAAAAAACCAACTCTCTGTCCTGACAAACTGTGAGCCCCTCTTGTTTATTCTTTCTCATAACAGGCTTAGAAGTATACAGTGGAACCTCCGATAAGGGATCTACCGAATAGGGACGACTTCTCTACAAAGTACACTTATACTTCAACCCCATATTATTTGACCAAGGGACAAAATCGTTAGCCACATAGTGTCTCTTGTTCAGAGGTTCCACTGTAGTCTTGAAACAATATTTTCGTCCTTGCACAAGGCTAATTCTAGTGACTCATCTCACCCTATTATATTCATTGTTACAATGTTGCTAGGTACACCCTATTGCTCCAATGCTGGTCTTCATTGCCTGAAGATCGGCCATCATTCACTGAACTGTGGGTACTGCTCAAAGAATACTGGGATGAAGAACATCTCTATGTGGTCCAGAGCTTTCAAGTACAATAGCTACCATCAGAAGACTTTCCAGCAAGTATCGTTTCGTTCCTGTTTTACAGTTAACCCTTTAATTGCTTTTATTAACGTTTACTGTATAACTTTTTTTAAACTATTATTGTTTTTGATCATCTACACAGTAGGTCAAAACTCAATCCGTGAAAATGCATTCAAAACAAACAGCAGCAAAATGTAATGAAATGGCAGCAGCTTTTCACAGCATGACAAAATGGGGGCGGGGCGTAGTAGCTACATTACTAAAGCATCACTCAGCAATGAAGGGACTTTTTCTGATGTACACAGAGCGTGGATGTGCGTGCACAGCAGTAAAACGTTAAATGTTTTAGTCCAGGGGCATCTCAGTGACGTCTCCCTCCCCCCTCTCCTCTCGCTCCCCCTCCTCATCTACTGCCTCGTATTCCGAGTCTGAATCTGATTCGACTGCTATGTTCATCTTCTTCAGCTCTTCACTGGCTGGGGTTAGACCTTGGCACATGAGTAGGATGGTGCGCGTGTGTGTTAACGAAATTTTCAGTCGTGTTTTGGTTACTACTAGAACATTTTTGGAGAGCCAATGGGGCGGTAGTTACAACGAGAAGAAGTGAGCTCATGAAAATACTGTAGTAGAGCAATATTAAGCTTATAGAGTGAGAAGAAAATGTCCGTAAGAATTACTATATAGTGAAGTGTCCTTTTTAGGGATACAAAAGCTGCTGTTGGGGAAAGCCTTGGGATGAAAACTAACCAGAAGGTACATACAGTGTAGGCTAACCTGCAGCTTTAGCGTCGGGGACCCAGAGGCCTGCGTCGATGCAGCGCTGCATGTGGTAGATGGCATCCTCCTTGGGCATGGCTGCCAGGACTCCCTGCAGTCTGGCTACGTTCTTTGTCTCAAAACACTCCTTTAGGGCCTACATACACACACAGAGATAAAAGGTTCCAGAGTGTGGCAGTATAAGGCTACTCAAAATGGAACATACTGTGTTCTTTCACTGGGTCCTATTGTAATAATCATGATGACACCAAAATTTCGTGGAGTGGCAAGGTTTTCATGGCCAAGGGGTTGTAATTACAGGAGTTGGCTCACAGCAGGGAGTGTCTCTATGATCTCCACAGGATCCAGTCCTCCCGGTCCCAACCTGCTCTTTCTCTCCTCCTGTCATAAACAACAACAGAAACAATATGGTTGACTTTCACTTTCATCTTCCCATAGTAGCTAACATTTCAACACATTTCTGGTGTCATTATATTGGGAGTCAGATGTGCGGTAAGTCATCAAGAAAAGGGTATATAGTACCTAAAGTTAAAGACTCCAGTTTTGAAAACAAAACTACACTAGGCTGAGGCAGGGGTAGCTATATACTACGAGTGCCAGTGATCAGATGCGAAAAATATCTCTACAGCCAGTGGTAGGAGTGCTTGTGATCAGGTTCAAACAATCCATAGCTTTAGAAGGTGGCTGGGGCTCCAAATCTGAGCTCTCTCTTTCCCATCCCTTTCCTTGATGGCCCACCTCATCTGCCTCCTTGATGGCTGCCTCCACCTTCTCCTTGGCTCTTGCCTTCACTCTGCTCTTGAAGGCCCGAATCTCGTCTTCAAACGCCTCCACATACTGCCTCTCTGCCGTCTTTATTCTATAGTTTGTGTGTGTTTTCATTAAGACATCGGTTGTTGACATATGTAATTATAGATACAAACATAATTATATACATACATGTACATGTAGTCGTCATAGAAACATGTAGTTGTCATGGAAATGATGTAATATGCATGCTTACCAAGTTTCATCTCCATGCGTGCCACCTTTAGCGAGTTTGAGAAGTGAAGAAGTAATTCTTAAGAAAATTGCCTGAGGCTATTTGTTGTTGTTCAAACAAAGTGGTTGTCATGGAAATGATGTTACACGCATGCGTACACATACACCTATCAATCAATTGCTGTCCCATTATTCGTAGGTCCCACTGTACTACCCAGGGCAACTCTGGAAAAAAATAGCTTTCCTATTGGCTTTCCCTTCCCATACAAATTCGTCATAGTATGTAGGCGGTGTATTACGGTATGGAGGGTATAATATACGTTTTATGGGAGAGAGGACAATAATGTTTACAGGCGAGCTAGCATCTGCAAAATTACTTTCTCTGTGAAATGGTTTAGGCAAGGGGAATGTTTACACAGGAGAACCAGTAATCCCAAGAGTTTTCTCTGTCAAATTCCTATTTGCTACCGACTTGTGAAAGTCTTACTCCTCATGTTTCCCATTACACAGTGTTCACCAGACAACGAACGTCATCCCTGAAACCAGGACGTGTACAAATCTCAAGTGTATGGGCATAATGCAGGACAACCTGTGTCATCCCTATTATACTAATTACTACCGTACTTCATGATACAACATATATACATACATGTACATCCATACATACAACAGAGTGGTGCCACTAATAGTACAGTAGTTAATTGACAGACCTTTCAAAGAAGCCTGGTATGCAGGATCTGGGATCTCTGTTGAGCTGTTTGCCCAGCTCTAGGATATACTGCATCACTATGGTCTGATGGGACACCACCTCCACAAGCGCTTGCTTCTGCAAGAGCCACATAAATGCACATTTAATGGCGGAAAACTTTGTGCAAACTGTCAAACACTAATGTTCATCCGTTTGTAACTGCCAATTGGACTCTGACAAAGGTAATTGGGGAATGGGGGATTTTATACTAGCTGAAAAAGTAAACCTCACAGTTACTCTGGCTTGAGTCAGCTATACCATAGCTACATATGTGATTATAATTAACCTTCTGACCTTTTGGCATGCAACGTAGTAAGCACATGACTACAAGCATGTTTCCATATTATGCATGTAGTGGGGGGTGACTTGTCTGCTGTACTACAAGGCTGGATCACACAAAAACATAAGGCTCTCTTAAGGCTCTCTTTTCCAATCCTATCCTAGGTTCACAATATGTTGCATTGCCCCGTCGTGCCTTGCCGCGTTGCTGTGTTGCCCATTTGTATATTTGCCGCACGGCGCGACCGGCAATGTGACATATTGTGAACCTAGCCCTACACTCTAAAACCTGTTTGCAAATGATATGCTAATAATATGGAGACCGCACTCACTTCTTGCATCTCCAGATTGACACACCACAGAGTGAGGTAACTGGCAGTGTCCTCGCGAACAAGATGAGGATTGTCTCGCAAATAGTCTCGACTGAAAGGAAGGGGAAAAAACAAGTAAAAAATTTCAGTGGTTTTGTGCATTATTACGTATGGTGACATGCAATTCAGATGAATATTTATTTGCTTCGCTAATCAATAGGAGTTATTTTACATTGGAACTCCGATAAGGGACCCTCCGAGATAGGGACGACCTCTCCATAAAGGACAATTCTTTAACCCCATGCTAATACTTTAGTGTATTACTTGACCTCCGAGATAGGGATGACCTCTCTACAAGGGACAAAATCGTTGGCCCCATAGTGTCCCTTGTTTAGAGGTTACCTTGTAACTCCACAACCGACCTAGCATTGTAGTCCTTTATCATCCCAAACTTCTTTATTTCCTTCTCATGTTTGTCCATGAATGACATCATTTTCTTGGTTTTTTCATCTTCCGACTCGTCAGTATTTGGTTTCCCCTTGTTTATGATCTGAACAGATGAGGGTGGAGGGGGGAAGGAAGAGGGAGAGAGAGAGGGCGAGAGAGATTGATCTGGTCAACTATTTGGCGTTGATGGATAGTATGGACATAAAGTGGTTCAGCACTTGGTTTCTGAAACAACATTGTACAGCCTGGATGAAGAATTCAGATAAGTGTATGGATTTTACCCAACCCCCTGTGTAGTATAATATGTCAAAGACTGTGGTATATGTACCAATTCAAACACTGTGGCATACAGCGACAACAACTCACAGTTTTCTCAAATCCTGGCTGGCAGAGTGTGTCCACATTCCACGGAGTCAACTGGAATGCAACAAACAGAAAAAACAGTCATAAAACGTAAAGTAAAGTCAAAACCCCACTTAAAACAATCGTGGCCCTGATGATGATTACATTTTCATGTGAATGGATTGCGCCATCGCGCTGCGTGTGTCCTCTCACCCTGTCTTTCTTGGCCAGTTCTTCTTCTTTCTTCTTGAAGTGGTCTTCTTGTTTCTTTAACTCCCCCAAGTCTTTGTTCAACTTTCGAACCTCATCCGTCTAATTATACAATAAGGGTCGTTGACAGTACTAACATGAGGGTTAAAACAGTAGAGACCAGTGAAAGAAAGCAAGTAAGTTTCATTCAGCCCTTATACACTGCCACAGAAAAACGCTTCGAGCAAGATGAACAACATGCGAAGGGTATGGATGTAAGATGACGACAGAGAGGGCTTACCTTTCCAGCCAATTCCACCTCCTTTAGCTTCTTTTGAATTTCCTTCACCCTTTTCTTGTGCCTGCAGTTGTAGTGACCACACCCACATATTAAGTCTTCCGTTAGATAACCCCATATATACGTAGATGATCCACACACTTACAAGGATAAAGTGATTTGATGTATGTATACAACCTTGCCACACGTGTATAGAGGGCAACTTATGTAATAAACCATTGATCACTAAGTAGTATTAAGCACCACATTTAGTAGCAGGGATCTACTAGATATGGACATACGGAGAACGAATCCAAATTTACCACATCAGCAGCTCCAACTTTATACAAGGCTTTGCTCCTAAATCTTAATCAACCATAAGCACAGGACCACTGCCACTGATCTAACGGGCAACCACATTTCTTGACACAGGCTAGGTTCATAATATGTCGCATTGCCTCATCACGCTGTGCCGCTTTGCCGTCTCGCGAGGATAGAATCCATTTCTATCTTTGCGGCACATGGTGTAACGCGGCAATGCGACATACTGTGAACCCAGCCTAACGTACGTCGTTGCCTCTTCGTCAAACGACTCCTTCTCTTTCTTGGCTTGCTCCATCCTCTCCACCCTGGCCTGGTGTCTCCAGCGAAAGAGGGACGGCGTGTCGATGTTTGGGTGAGTGTCGTCCTCATCATCGCTCACCTACGCATACAGTGGAACATCTGTATTACCGGAAACCTTGGGGGTCATTGAAACCCGTCCTTTAATCAGAGGAGTCCCTTACAATACAACACACTAATGCAGCCATTAGTATGGGGCTGAACCGTAGTGTCCCTAACACATGTGTCCTGTAACAGGAGGTTTTTTACTGTAGACATACACACACACACCAAAAGAGAATTCGATGTTGGCGACTAGCTGTACGTACATGTACGGGAAACAAAAAGGTGTCGTTTGTCAAGCGTAGAAGTGATGTGTGTACGTAAGTAGCGTACATACCTCGATGTTGTTCCACTTGCTGTAGTCTAGTCTACTCATGGCGTCTCTTCTCTGGAAAACTTGTGGGAAGACCTTTCCAGAACGAACTGAAGTTATTGTCCTTTGACCCCGGAGGTAGGCGCGCGTGTGCGCTAAAGGTGGGCGCGCTATAGTAGCTCTATTGCGCATGCGCTATACCTACATGTAATGACCACTGGCTGCTGCATGTCGTCCAGGACAACCAAGGAGAGATATGCCCTCTCTGTTTCTGTATCTACAGTATAAATACAGCCTGACCAGTGTCTGCTAATATGAAAAGGTAATGTGTATATAGCTAAATAAATGCATACATCGATATTGCATACTACGAGAAGTTAACCTATTATAACTACATGTTAATTAATTGTAACTATGTCTTTGGCAATAGTGAGTATTTCTGTAGCACACTTTGCAGCTTCCTTGGCGTTTTCAAGATCGAAGTTTTCGTACGGAGGGCACGACTGACTCTCTTTTGGAAATCTGGTGTCCTCGTAGTTGATAGACTCCAGTGGCTGGACATGGGTTGAAAGTCCTCTTGCTCTGTGTGGTTCAACCAGCTCTATTGAATACGCCAGGGGGATGATGTTATGGCTGGCACGCAACTGATCTCCCAAGCCACATGTAACATACATGACACCTTTCAGAGCTTTCTCGGCCACTTCGTGAGCCAAAAACCACACGTTCCCGCAGACTTCGGCACTGCTCTGCGCCTTATCTAGAAGAACCCCGAGTGCAATATGGTCTGCAGCTGCCTGTCTTACCCACTGTTTTGCCTTTGCCTCGCTTTTTGGTGGTGTATAGGGTGGACTGAAGAACCAACATCCCCCTCCTCGATTTCGACACTGATGCGAACGATGGCCACCACCATACCAATTCCAGCTATAGTTCCCTGATCCCCCAACTCCCCACCTCCCCAACCACTACTTTGACTATCTCCTCCCTCACTGCTGTTACTTCTTGCCTGCTGCTGTTCATAGTAGTACCTTTGCTGCTTGGCATAGGAATTCCAGTTCTGCCTGTAAGTTCTCCAGGATGGGTAAGGGCCTGCATTATCAGAGGCTGATACTCCATCTCCTCTTTCTAGTCGGTCCAACTCTTCCTGAATAAACTTGAACACTTCTTCTGCTAGTTCAGGATTGTTTGGATTCTTGTCTGGGTGCCATTTCAAATACAGGCGCCGGATGGCTCTCTTGCGCTTGTCTTGCGGAAGGCGCCAAATTTCTTCCAACTCCTTTCTCACTTCTTTCTTTGCCTGCTGTAAATTTATAGGGGCAGGGGGAGGTTCAACGCTCTCAGCGTCTCCTTCAAATCGGACAATCTCCCGACTCTCAGAAGGAGCAGATTGTATTGTGTTGGCTGGTGCAGTCTCACCCCTAATAAACTTGTAAAGAACAGTGGCTGTTACTTTCTTCCCTTTGTTATCGTCTTCACTGGTAAAAATTATGTATTCCATTTGCATTGGTGGCAGTGGTTCCCCTGCTTCATCTCTTAGACAAATAGGGTGGCTGATCTGAGCAAAAATAATAGTTTCCTCGTGATCTCGTGGTCTGTAGGCTACCCATTCTTCAGATTGAAATATGTTATTGTTGCTCATATCCAGTCTGTGGTGCCATGGTTCTGGAACGGTATCCCCACGTCTAGGGTCGTCGATTATGTAATCCACTTCACTGGAGTATATTTGGTTTTCTTGCAACATTTCATAGACTTCTTCCGAACTTTCAGCACCAATTAGCTTTGTCATAAATGTTTTTAACTTTTCTAGGTCTGTTTCTCTTAAATCACTGTCTAAACATGATAGCAATGATTTGCAATACACTCATGTACCTGTGACACATGTGTAGCACGAACACTTTGAATCAATGTAGAGGTGGTGTTCTTGCCTTTGCACTTCAATCATGCATTTAGGCTTCTTACATGCTACAGGTTTTGATATCTCACTATTTCTAAGAAACATGTTTACTTTAAAATCCTCGACACAGTGGACTTCAAGAGTATCGAAAAATGTAGCAATGTGCTCTTTCATTTTTTCACACAGTTTTTGCTGTTCAGACTCAGGCAACATTGAACTTATTGATGTAGTACCTGCTAAACACAGTGCCTGCTGTAGGTTGTGAAATTTCAAGCTTCTTTTTAATTCTTGTATGCACTTTGGTACATTTTCACTCTCTTTGCAGTCGGAAACTTTACTAGTGCATAATTCAGATAGTGCCTTTGGTCGAAGAGCCCTCGGAAGCAGCTCACAGAATCTTTGGGGGAAAATATGTCTATTTCTTGGTGTCCACAACAGGTAAAGATTTGTTCCCTCCAGATTGACATGGTGTAGCATACTACGTGTATGTACCAAAGACTCAACAGGATGCATTCGTTTATCTGTACCGGATAGGTATAGTGGTTTTAGCTTCTCAACCAGTACTGCCTCTCCCATTTGCTGTCTACCCCTCTTATTCTTCTCCAGTAACTCACTGAGTTCGACGACAGCACAACTCACAACATTCATTGTGTTTGGCTCCATGTCTAGAGTACCGGAGTCAGAAACGTTAAAGGCCGACTGAAGAACTAACTGCATGTGTTCCAGTTGCAAGGAATCCTGTACACCAAGTCTTTCTAAAAACATCTTTACTTTGTATAGTGGCGTTGAGCTCACACCATGTAAATATGGGTAGAAAGGTTTTGTGTCGTACGTTGGTCTCAAAACAACACAGCGTGGTTCAACAAGAACTGGATATTGACCAGTGTTGTCATTTGAAACTGCATAAACTGGGATACATCTGAGGGACTTTAATCCTGTGATATTCCCCTGGAAGTTCTGCAACTCCAAGAATATTTTTACCATAACATCCATCAATTTCTCCTGCTTGGGTTTACACTGTGGAGCTGTGTACTTTATAAAAAGATTTTGATCTGCAAAACAGGTTTTTGCAATGAGACCGATAGTTTCCATTAAATCTGTGGCTGTTGGTTTGAGGCATACTCCTAGGGTTTTACATACCTCATTCTGACTATTGGGAACTTGAATCACAGATTTTGTTGCCCATATTAAGTGCTTGTGTTGAGAAAGACATGACCCAAATAACTTACAAAGAGGAAACTCCTTATTTGCAAGTATCATTTTGTTTGGGGCTGCAGGAACTTTATGAATCCATTCCAATTCTGGTACGGGAACTGGACAGACAAATGGTATTTGAGAGATTCTTCTGAGGGTTAAATTTTGATGAAATCCATGGTGTTTCGCTTCCTCAAACGAGAAAAGATAATCCAGAAGTACTCTAGATCCTGTTGCAGTCTTCTCTTTAAGCTTCCCATCAGCAACGTAACTGCATAAAGCAGTAAACGTTTCTGCATTGACGGACTCCTTCAGTCCAATCTTTTTAAAAAACTGCATCCACCTTTCTACTTCTCCTTGTAAAAGGTCCTTGGGAAGTGTTTGGAAATGTTCTGGAAATGTCTGGAAAATTTGTTTCTCGTGGGTATAGAAATGGCTAACAGGTTTTAAGCATTCTCCATCTTCTCCTATGCATTGAAGATTTTTAAGCCCCACAATAAACTGGTGAGCTGAATGGTAATCAATATGTGGTGCATAACGTATGCTCTTTTGGGGCATAGTGTAGTAGGAAAAATTTTTGCTGAAGAGTTGATCTCGAATATGCTTCAAGTGAAGGTAACGATCCTTTTTGCTCATCTTGAAGAAATTAGGAAATATGAACTTCAAATAGGTTTCTTCTGCTGTTATTCTCTGTATTCCTAGCTCACTCTCAACTCCTAGGTGAGTCCATGCACCATTAGGATTCAGAAACACAAGGTCTGCAAGGTGAGTTCCCTTAAGCCATTGTTCACTGCCTTCCTGGCAAATATGTGTAGGCCAAATGTACACTGTCTTTCCTTGAAGTATTGTCAGATTTCCGTCAATTTTCTCAAATAATGGTAAGTACTTGAGATGCTGGCAACACTGACTTTCTTTCTTGAGGTAAATATTTGAAAGATACCCAATAATTATGCCTGCACTCTGTTTTGTCATTACCTCTATGAAGGGACATTCTCTGTACAGGTAGAAAAGATCCTTGAGCACAGCCCTACGATCGGACAGTTTTGGACATAGTGAAGGTGCAGCTTTAACTGGCACTATTGAGGTGTCTAGTATTGGTGCTTGTAATTCTTTCATCACAGACAGCACTTTTTCATAAGTATCTACTACTATTGGTAGAAGTTGCTCAGATGAACGACATTGAAACAATCTTTTATCCTGGGTTGCTAAAAGAGCCCACACTTTCAGCACTTCATCTAGAACTGAATGGAAAACTCTGTCATTTGAAAGGCATTTCCATAGGCCTTTAATGTCAAATTTGGTCAATGCATCACTTTCTGAAGGTACACAATGACTCTTCTTTAATTCTGTTGGTAGGATCGTTTCAAGAAGCTCTTTGACAATTTGTACACGAACTTGGTTGTGATCTTTTTCCGAGACAAAATATGAGGATGAATACGAGCATTGGATGAGCTTTGGGTGCAGAAATTTGGATCTACATCTTGCTGGAAACATGTCTAAATGTTCTGAGCAGAGGACTTTATTATATCTATCAAAACGACAAAGCTGCTCAGCAGCATTCAGCAGCAAAGGATGGCCAAAAGGCTCTCCAGGAAACGTATAATAATGCCTGTCCAACAAATACTCCGTAAAAGTTTTGAAATCTTCGACTCCTTTAAAAGGTGTGTCTTGAATTAGCAGTGGAAAGTTAGCAGAATTGAATCTTGTGTGCCGAATATAAAAGTTGTACACACTGGACCGACTTATTGCTGGTATTTTGCAATTGACTTGAACAAAATGCGTGAGTATCCAGTCAGGAGCGCATGTGATTTTCATGCCAATTCTTTCAAAAATTGAAGTGAGATTCTCTGTGCTGTCACCGGGAAAATAAACCTGGAAGGCTGGCATATTTTTGTTATTCAGTGGGCACCAATGAAGTACATATTTATCTTCAGAGGCTCTGGATGATATGTTGGTAGGCACAGCTAACACTGAAGAATTGCGTTTGGACAGTATTTGAAATACCTGGTTAGCCAGTGTCAACCAAGGCTCAGGAAGGGAATTTTTGCCTAGATCAGTTCTTGGGAA